AGGGAGGAGACAGCACACGTTTCAAAGTCATCATTCCTTCTCTGGCACTCCTTTCTTAGGAGACTCCTGAAAGAAGCAAGGTCATTTTGATAACACTGAACAGCAATCAGCACTCATGGTGTGCACATCTAGGATTCTAAAGGCTAAGTTAATAAGTAGACCCCAGAGGGCCAAGAAGAAAGAAGTGACATTGAGGCTGGAGGCCAACACCTTTCTCCTCAGTGTTGGACCAGCACAGATTCGGGTGCTCAGGGGTCTCTCCAATAAAGACGGATCATTAAAACCAAGGAGCTGCAGTCAAGCAATGGGTCTGGCACAGGCTGGCTGGCATGGGTCACCTCATAATCCGAAGTAAAAATAGCAGCCTGACATTCAAAGGAAGAGAGGTGATAGACAGCTAGTCCTGCTGAAATCTGTTTTGGTCCGACCTCATTTGGAGTAAGCAGTCCTGGGCACCTGCTTAGGGCAATATGGCCTAGATATTAAAGAAATAAGATGGCAAAGGGATTCTAAACCATAACATATTCATTGAAGAATCTGGAGATGTTTTATTTAGAGCAGAAAAGACTTAGGGAGGATCTTTGTGCTAGCAGAAACAGAAGGATGTTGGCATTTGCTTTTCGGGAGGACTTCTTTGGAAGTAGGCTCCCATTGATGGAAACCAACCTAGCCATAAGGAGGGCACTTCCTCTTCACCCATCGGTGTACTGGGCTTCGTAGGCCCTTACAGTCTCCTCTCTGGTAAATACTGGCAACTTTCAATTTCATGAGCATGTCATGTCTATGCACAGGAGAGAACAGACAAAGCTTACACTTGGCCACACAACAGCTTATTAATGTCATCACCATTAAAATACTGAATTCCTTGATCCTGGGATTGGTATTGCCAGGGTTCAAGGCTTTCCCCTTCTCCACTGTCTATATAGTGATGCCTAACAAAGGTCAAGAGCATAAAAATAATACCTGGGGAAAGTGAATGGCTATTTTGACACATGGGAAATTAAAAGACCACCACTATGCAGTGGAAATAGTGCTGGTCCACTCAGAGTGAGAGAATGAAAAATGACACATTGCTTAGAGTTCAAATACTGCTTAAAGACTTAGTACCTGTGTGACTGTGACAAGTCACTTAACTTACCTGGGCTTCAGTGTCTACACCTGCAAAAGTCAGGGAGTTAGACTCGATGTCCTCTGAGGGTCCTTCCTCATCTTTAAGCTTGAACGCATTTATTTTAATGTGCAGTTAAATATTAAACCTCCCAAATGAAAATAAACTATAGCCCCGAAGGCTCTCTCTTTCCAGATTAATCACTCTAATCATTCTCAAGGACAGCTCTAAGATCATCTCCCTGATGTCAAATGTCTGAAGGGGAAGAAGATGGGGCAAGCAACTAAATCAAATTGCCTGTAGAAATGATGCCACAAATACAGGAGTTCAGGAGTCCTGGAACACTTTATCAAAGGCTCAGTGGCTGGTCCCACACCAGTGACAATTAGAGAAAAGAAAGCAGAGCTAAAAGAAATGTGGCTTACAGATTAATCACTCTATAGATAAATCAAAGGAAGATATGGAAGTGGTGAGAAGAAATGATATAAAAGTTGTATTTTCAAAACCTCAATTGTTTCAAAGGGAGTTTGACTTACCTACCTTTATATGCCATTACTGCATATAACTCAATAAGAAATAACTCAGCAAACAAAACTTTGATTCTTAAGTTACTTCCTATCCAACTCCTCTCAGCAGCTGTTCCAAACTTTTTCTTCTCTCCAGTCCCCAATGCTTCCTCCACCCCCCTGTCAGCAGATGTCTTTGCCTCCTATTTAGCTGAGAAAAGAAAAGCCATCTGCCAGCATTCCCTCCTATTGCATACCTCAAAAACCTCATCCGTTCTTCCTTCACTCATTTCTGAAAAGAGATAGGTCTTCTAACAATGGCCACTGCCACTACCTTTGATCACATCTTCCCCACCCCCACCTCACCTCTCTCTCTCTCTTCTCTCTCTCTCTCTCTCTCTCTCTCTCTCTCTCTCACCCCCATGTGTGTCATTTTTTCATTTTCTCCCTCTTCAGTCTCTGTCTCTGTCTCTGTTCCTTTCTCTCTCTCTGTCTCTCTCTTCCCTTCCCACCCCCTAATGTCCAGATTTACTCTAACCTTAAAAAAACCTCTTGGCGTTGCCATCCCCTCAAGCTGACATCTTATTTCTCTCTTCCCCCTTCACTTCCAAACCCCTGGAGGAAAAAAAAACATTTCTACTTAAAGCTTCCCCTTTCTCATCACCTGCCCATTGTCAATCCTTTACAATTTGGTTTCTGACTCCACCACTCAGCTGAAACTGGTTTCTACAAAGTTACCTGTGACCTCTTAACTACTAAATCTAATGAGCTTTTCTCAGTCCTTATCCTCTCTGATCTTTCTGTGGCTTTTGATACTCTTGCCCATAACCTTCTTCATAGACACTTTCTACTCTCATTCATTTCCAGGACACTTTCTCTCCTGGTTCTCTTCCTTACATTCTGAATGCTCTTCCTCAATCTCCTTGGCTAGATCATTAACCATTTCCTTCCCCCTTACTGGGGATGTTCCCCAAGGCTCTATCTTGGTCCCTCTCCTCTTGTCTCTCTACATTCTCTTTCTTAGAGCTCTCATCAGCTCCCACAAATTCAGGCATTACTTCTATGCATATGACTCCCAAATTTATATATCCAGTCTTAATCTCTCTACTGAACTCATATATTATCAACTGCCTTCTGGATCTTCCAAGGGTATATTGAAAACAGTATGTGTGAAACAGAACTGATTGTTTTCCTTGTAAATCAGTCCTCCAGTGCCCAGTATGAATGTTCCCGGATCCTAGGTTCATAACCTCAGAGTCACCCAGAGTTAAGTGTGACCCACCATCAAGGATTCCCTACTCCCACATTTGACTGGTTGTTAAATGTTATCAATTCTATCTCCACCATATTTCTTCATCTGCCTCCTTCTCTCCACTCACACAGCCACTGTCACCTGCATCACCTCTCACTTGGGCTATTGCATTAACTTCTTCATTGGTCTCTCCCCTTCCAACTCACTGGACATAGAGATGCCAAAATAACCTTTCTAAAGCACAGTTGTGTCACGCCACATTGCTGGTAGGATAAAATATAAGCACTCTCCATAATCTGGCCCCTATATGTCTTTTCCAACCTTATTTTATCTGCTTCCCTTCATAAACTCTATGTTCCAGCTAAACTGGATTATTAGCCATTCCCTGGGACTCATTACTCCATCTCACAGAGCATGCATTCACATAATGTGAATGTTCCCAGGTGCCTACAATCACTCACTCCTCTCTTAATAATCCTAATCCTAATCATAGTAATAGTCCCTGGCTTCCTTCAAGACTCACTTCAAGTACACCTCCTTTGGAATCTTTCCCTAAACACCACAGGTTTTAATGTTTTGGCCTCAATTTTCCTTATATTAGAATGGAAGTTTCTTGAGAGCAGAAACTTTTTATTTTGTGTCTTTGTAGCCCAGCACCTAAAATGGTGCCTTGCTCATGATAGGTGAATTCAAATCTGGCCTCAGATACTTACTAGCTGTGTGACCCTGGGCAAGTCACTTTACCTTGTTTGCTTCAGTTAGTCATCTGTAAATAGAGCTGGAGAAGGAAATGGCAAAGCACTCCAGTATCTTTCCCAAGAAAACTTCAAAAGGGGTCACAACTGGACAACTAAATAACAATGAATTGAATCAAATCTCATTCTGTGACCAGGCAGAAGACCTATATAATGCTGATCCTGGCCATCTGTTTACAAATAGGCTGCAGAAGACCAAAGATATGAGATCCACAGAAGAGACATAAAACCAGCTCACCCTGGTTATATAAGTCATCATTACAATAATGCTGGAGGGGAAAAAAAGCTATCAACTGATCAACAAGCATTTATTGGTTACTATGTGTCAGGTGCTGGGCCAGGCAGTGGGGGAGACAAAGACAAAAGTGAGGCAGTCCCTACCCTCAAGGATCTTACATTCTATCAGGTGAGACAATGTGTTCACGTACAGGTATACAAAAATCTGGCAAAATGAAAGATGAACACTGGACATTCTACCATGAGGATATGTGTTCATAGAGAAGTACATACAGCATATATACCCCACAAAATACACAGTCATAGAGGGAGACACCAATAACTAGGTAATCAGGAAAAGTTTTTTGCTGTAAGTGGCAAAAAGCCCTGGAGGATTTCCATATCTCACAGGGTCACAAATATAATATTATAGAATTATGTTCAAGTCAACAAACATTTGTGAATTGCTTATGACATAGGGGCAGAATATTGTGCTAGATGTGGGGGAACACAAAGGTGAAGAAGACACAGCCGCTGCCCTCCTAGAGCTTTTGATCTAGGTAGGACTGAATATGATGCACACACAATACAATACAAAATGAACATAAGTCCTACACGCAAAGTGCTACATGAAAGTGTAACCTAAATGACGTCTGTCTTTTTGGACTTGATTTTATGGCAGCTGCAGGAAAGAAAAAAGAACTACTTCTTGTCTAAATCCAGCCAATGAGTAGAAGTGAGTAAAGCCTGGGCCACAGATGGTCCCATCAGTCAAAGCAAAAAAAGCACTTTTCTTGAGTCATTCTGGAAACCATTGAAGTGATCAGGCTGGCCAAGGGCATAACAAACAGTAGGTGGGCAACACTGACTATATAACCATACACATTGAAGGAGGAATTAAGGAGAGTGGCAAAGGACAGGAGATAGCAGGTTAGCCTTCTAACTGCCTACAGGAACGCAGTCCCCAGTCACCAATGTTTGTCCATGGCGTTAGCTGAGGCAGGGATGATAACCTTCTTCAGGTGCTTTCTTTAGAATAAAATTACCCACAATTCCTTTGACCTCCAGAAAAGGAGACTATATAAATCAAAGAAAGGGCTTTTCTTTTCTGACTCTTGGAGCATTAATTATCACAGAGTGGGGAACTCCTCAGATTGAGGAAAATGGCAGCTTTACAAGAAAAAAAGACCTGCAGTCAACGGATGGAAGAATTCCGCCACTACTGCTGGAATCCGGACACAGGGCAGATGTTGGGAAGGACCTTGTCTAAGTGGGGTATGTGCAATTGGCAGCAGATTTTCTCCATAAACACCAGAGGGGTTCATGGAGGCATTCTATGTATGGGTGAGGAAAAGAAACGCACAATCTAACAAAAGCTGTGCAAGCTTCCTTTTACAGGGGAGGAAACGGAGGCCCACAGAGGTTGAATGGCTTGCTCATAGTCACACAGAAAGTGGTAGAAACCATGAGTCAAACTCAGACCTTCTGACTCCCAGTCTAGTGTTCTTACCACTGCACCATGACACCTTAACAATACCGAAGGAGACAAGGTAGAAAGTAATTAGTCACTCTCTCTTGAATAATGATGCATCTGGCCTCACCATTGGCTCCTTTCTCTTTGCCTATGAACACAATCAGGTCCCCCATCTCCTTTCACTGCTGGGCTCCTTGTAATGTGGCTTCCACCCCACCACCCCCACTACTATTCTGAAACTGTGCTCTCAAATGACCTCCAACGGTACAAATCCACCAGCTAGTTCTGAGTTCCCATCCTCCGTGATCTTTTAACGGCTTTTCAGGATTATTATTCTACTACGACTCCACTGGTATCAGAAACTACTGAATGAGGAAACTCTACCAGTAATATTATTAACCACCCTCTCTCTTTTGAACATGCTCATCTTCATTGACTTCTATGACATTTTACTTATTTTCTTGACTTTCTTTCCCCACAGCTGATCCTTCTGTCTCTCACAAAGTTCCCTTCTTCCTCCATGTTCACCAATGGGATACTCAGTCCTCTTTTTGTCTCTTCCTACATTGTGACATCATCCACTTTTATAATTTCAACTATTCTACTATGCCTCTGTGGAAGGATCCCAAACCTGTGTCTATAGTCCTGACCTTTCCCTCCCTCCCTGCCTCTCTCTCTCTCTCTCTCTCTCTCTCTCTCTCTCTCTCTCTCACTCTCTTTCTCTTTCTTTCTCTCTCTGTGTCTCTCCCTCATCACATTTCTAATTGCCTATTGCATAACACTACCAGCTATCTCAACAACTCAAACACATCAAAAACTGAACTCATCATCTCCCAAACCCACCGTTCCTCTTTAATACAAAGCTCAGTCTCGGTCTTTATTCTTCCCTCTCCCTCATTCCCTGGAAGCTTTTTTACAAATCCTTGGAATTACCCTTGGACAGCATCAAAAAAATGGAAGAGAGTGAGAAGTAGGCCCAGCAATATCTGTTCTGTTACACATTTATGCTACCTCTCCAAGTGTCTTCATACTACAAGTCTAACCTGAAGGCCTTATGGCAAGATTTGGAGACAGATACAAATTGGACCAGTGATTCCACTGGTAACAGGAATTCCTGGATGAGAAAACTCTACCAATGCAAGCCAACAGCTTCTCTGCAACATAGAGTTTTGCCTTTTTTTAATTTTTTTGGCTAGGCGATAGCGCTAAGTGACATGCCCAGGGTCACACAGCTAGTGTTATGTGTCTGAGGCCGGATTTGAACTCAGGCCCTCCTGACTCCAGCGCCAGTACTCTATCCATTATACCACCTAGCTGCCCTTGCAACTTAGAGTTTTGCAGGGGTGCCAGGCCACTGACAGGTTAAGCGATTTGCCCAGGGTCACATAGCCAAAATGCACCCTTTCTAGCTTCCAATCCCCTCCAGGGGTGGAGAATCTGTGGCCTTGAGGCCACATGTGGCCTTTTAGGTCCTCAGGTGTGGCCTTTTGACTGAGTCCAAGTTTTACAGAACAAATCCTTTTATTAAGGAGATTTGTTCGGCAAAGTTTGGATTTAGTCAAAGGGCTGTGGCCTCGAGGCCCCAGGTTCTCCATCCCTGCTCCCCTACTGCCTTTAAGCAACAGAATTTGGGCCACATAATAATTACAATTTAGGCATGAGGTTCCTAATTTCAATTTAACAATTTGTCAGACTTTTACTGCCTCTATACAAATGGCACCATGCTAAACAAAATCCCTCAGAATCTCTTCACATCCCAGCTTAAAATGTGGAAGTAGGCAGGGCCATTTCTGCCACAAACATCTGGGAATTGTTTCTCCCTTTATTTAAAAATCATTTCATTTTCCCTTGGCTTATGGACATTAGGTGACCTTTGCACAGTGAGCCACTGGCCTCCTTTCACCCCACATCCTCTCATCAGGATGGAGGGGGGAGGGAAGAAGAGGGGAGAAAAGGGAATTATCTCTTGACCCGAGTTGTTATTTAAAGAAGGGTTGAGCTCATCTAAACGAGCTGGCAGCCACTTGCAGATTAGTTCCCGGGGTGATGTGATCTGAGGTCAGCCCCTGGAGACAGCTGCTTGGCTACCCGGAAAGACCAGGCTGTGTCTCCACCCTCAGAGGCAGAGCCAACACCAGACGGCTCCTGAAGATGTGAGGTTAAACTGATCTGCCGCCCTCCGTCTACCCACGAAGGCCTCAAGGTGTCAGGCATTCCCACTGAAATGTCCTGGGAACCTAAACATAGCCAGCTGCTGGTCTGGGACTGCCTGACTGCTCTGCAGGCAGGTCCAGCTTGAATGGGTCTGGTGGAAACATTCTTAGGGTGAAATAGACTGAAGATAGCCTCCCAAATCTGTGGCCAAGGAAAACTCAGTTTAAATTTTATGTTTGCCTCCCCATTGTCTAACTCAGGGCCTGGCACAGAGCTGAGAAGGGAGCCTAGAAGGACACTGAGGCCAACCCCCTCATTTTACAGATAAGGCAACTGAGGCCTAAAAAGTGAAGTGACTTGTTTAAGGTGGTACAGATCGTGCTTAGTAGAGCTAGAATTTCCTCATCTTCCAACCTAGCATTCTTTCCATTGTTTGAGTAAAAAGAAAACATTATAACATGAATGGGGAGGAGGGGGAGACTTTTCTATCCCCAAACAAGTAAAACTTTGATTAAAGCATTTCCTTATGTTTATTTGGGCAGTTAGGCGGTGCAGTGGACAGAGTGTTTGGAGTTAGGAAAACCCTGAGTACAAATCTGGCCTTAGATGCTTCCTACCTAGGTGACCCTGGTCAATTTGAACTCAGGTCTTCCTGACGCTAGGCATGGAGCTCTATCCACTGCATCACCTGGCTGTCCCTCCTTTCTGCTACCTTTTCCATAATCCCTTTTTCTTCACCCCTCCCAACTGGGATGGGGGAGAGAGAAAAAACAAATGTGGATAGTCAAGCAAAAACAAATTCCTACATTAGTTTTGACTGAAAATGTATACCTTATTCTGCCCTGTCAGTCCACCTGTCCAGAGCATGCTTTATCATTGGTGCTCTGAAATCACAGTTTGTCTTTCAAAGTTGTTTCTCTCTACAGTATTATTGTTATGCCTACCATACCACGTGGACCTCATTACATAGCAAAAGAAAGCACCCTGGTGCAAAATCCCGTGCCCCGGGAGTCAGGAGACCCAAGCTAGTTTTGTTACCACTAACTAATATAAATACAATGGAAAGGCTTTAGATTTGGAAGCAAAGGACCACAGTTCAAATTTGCCACATACTTCCTATATGACCTTGGGCAAGTGACTTAATTTTTCTGGGCCTCACCTATACAATAAATGTTCTTCCAGCTCTAAACCTATGATCTTATGATCTGAGGAATCATTTAACCTTTATCCTTTAATATCAATATGAATTGATATTAACTCTCACTTAATCAGAATTCTCTCCTTTCCTAGTCCCTTGTTGTAAATGAACTGAGAGAGATGTCCTTGGAGATAGGCCAACATCTGTCTCATAAAAAATTGTAACAGTCCAACAAATACATTGGAAGTAGCATTCCTGGGCACAAAAAGCCAACACAGGGTTTGGGTCACAAGGCCAAAGGTCAGAGTGAAATCAATCAATCAATCAACAAGCATTTATTAAACTGCCTACTATGTGCAAGCCATTGGCATAGAAAGGCAAAAATGACTCATTGCCTTCAAGAAGATGCCACTCTTATTTGAGGAAGGTATGAAAAGTCTACCTTTCCATAGTAATCTGAAGGACAAAGTAATTGCAATATTTTAGATATAAATTCCTAGAATGCAGGGACAATTTTGTTTTTGTCTCTGTGTGGCTCACCAGCATAGAGCCTCGCTAGGTTTTTAATAAGTGTTTGTTGAATCAAACTGAATGGGGGGGTGTTGTTATGATCATTGGCCAACATTTCTGTGACAAATGGTTTATAGTTCCTTTTGCACGGTGTGATAAATAATCGGAAACAGATCAGTATTTTGATCCTCATATCACAGATGAGAAAACTGAGGTCCAGACATAACTGGAGTTGACCAGCCAGTTAGGGGAGTAGAACCAGAATAAAACACAGGCTTTAAATAGAAGGTGTTTTGAGTTGCTGCTCATTTGTCCTGCTTCTTTTGCCTCCTCCCACACTTTCATTCATTTGGCTCCCGGTCTTTAATGCTGCTCTGGGCCACTGGAGAGACTGAGTCACTGACTGGTGCCCACACCCAGTCACATGGCAATTTCTGAAGTAAAGAAAAGCTTGGAGTCTTTTTATTACCTTATCTAGAAAATTATAACAAACAGAAAGTCATGTTCTACCACACAAAGCTTCAGTTCTTTGGAAAAATAAAAGGAATATTTGCTTTAACACAATTTTTTAAAATTTGTTTGAAAATTTTAAGATATGGGGACAACCATCCCAAGTAATGAAATAAACAGGATTTAGTCACAAACCAAATGAAAAACACAAACAAAACAAACACTCCCAAACTTACTCATCTGAATATTTTAAAAAACAGGAAAATCAAATCCTCACACATTATTTCCTGTTTTGAAGTATCAGAGTGTTTGTCAGACCTTCTTGCTCACACTTGAAGCAGGGTTGGATGAAATCCATAAAGTAGGTTGGGCAAATTTTCAGGATGCCAAAGTTTCCAGAGTGGTATGCATCTACCATGCTCATCCTCTCCCCTGGAAAAGTACAAAAATTTCAGATTACCCCAAAGGTTGCTGGGCAGATACCTAACTAGTCTGCCTGGGAGCAAAATCCCCTTGTCATATTTGTAGCGGTCACCTTGACCTTCCTTTAAGTGATGCTCCCCTTGAGTTGTCATCGAGTTAATATACAAGAAATTCAAGGACACTCCTCAAGAGTAGGCAGTAATGTGCTATTGTGGAAAAAGAGTGGGATTCATATTCTGTCTCTACTAGCTAAATGTCTATCAGTTTAGCCTTTATCTGTAAAATGGAGTTATTGAATTAACCACTCCTGGGGTTGTTATGGAGAAAGATCTTTATAAAGCCTAAAACATTTTTCAACTGCGCTGATTTTAGCACATTTAGCTGGCTAATTCCACAGCTTGCCTAGCAAAGCAACAGAGACCAAATTAATAGGGCTGGCTACTTTTAACCTTATTTTTTTCTTTTCACAGTGTGGATTAGTCTCTACTATGTGGCTTTCTATGTGGTGATGAGTGGGCTGTTTGCCCTTGCCATCTACTCTTTAATGCAGACAATAGATCCATACACACCAGACTACCAAGATCAATTAAAGTCACCAGGTAAATATGATGATTTGACTTGCTTCAACCCAATATCAAAAAATATATAATTTATACTGAATTTCTCAGATGTTTGCCCCCATGGCAAAGCTGATGGTAAAAGCAGGGTTTAGCCTCTAGAGTTTTCCTCCTTAGAAAGAAAACAATCAGGTCCAGAATATCAATTAATTTGTCAATCAAATGTTTATAATATACCACCTACGTGTCCAGCACCATTAAATCATCTCCTGCAGTTCCCAGTCTCTCGTCTCTTCTTGCTTACATTTTAGGCAGGGTTGAATGAAAGGGGAAAAAAAAGCAGATTGGGCATAGCAGGGGAAACAAAAAGTCTATATGCCTCATATCCTCCAAGAGCTTATGAGCTAGCTGGGGAGAAAACAGTAATGTCAGAAAAGTTACAAGAGGATAAGACAGAGAGTATAAATACAAAAGGAAGTTACAAAGGAGATCAATTGGCAATGACAGCTATTAACCTTGTTTATTGCTGAGGACTTCTGGGAATTAAATCTTATGTCTGTATGACTTCCATTAAAAAGTGTCCCACATGAGCATGTGGACATGGAATTTTAATGTGTGAATTTGAATATGTGTGTGTGTGTGTGTGTGTGTGTGTGTGTGTGTTGTGTATGTGTATGTGTATGACAGGTAGCTTGGTATCATGGAGAGCTGGCCTTGGACCTGGGTTCAAGTCCCTCTTCTGACATATACTGACTGAGTGACCTTGGGTACTTGACTTAACCTCACAGTGCTCCAGGCAGATCTCTTGAGTATAAGATACAAAACAGATGGCAAATTATAGTGGCAAAGAGTTTTCTGTATCAACAAACAGGTCCAGTCCAAAAAAAAAAAGAAAAAAAGATATAGATTATTAATTAATTTATTTCTATTTGGATGCCAGTTAGAGCCAGCCTCAGAGTGAGGAATAATAATAGCTAGCATTTATATATAGCTCTTTACAAACACCTCATTTTATCCTCATAACCCTGGAAGGTAGGTGCTATTATTATCTCCTTTTTGCAGATGAAGAAACTGAGGTAGACAGAGATGAAGTGACTTGCTGATGGTGACACAGCTAATAAGTGCCTGGGGCTGGATTTGAACTCAGTTCCCAAGCGCAGCACTCTGTGACACCTAGATGCCTAGGTCAAGTCCTAGCTTTGATATAGGTACTGTGTGGTCCTGGGCCAATCATTTAACTTCTCAGCCCCAGGAATTCTCTGTGATTATAGGCTGCAAAGCAGCTGCTGATCTGCATTGGAAGGAGCTTCTTCACTGGGAGTTCCTTAGGCCAACAAAATCACAAATATGATCAAAAATATAAATGATAAGCAGGATAACCTCACATCATAATCTGGTTCTAGATCTACTTGTACTTTTTTTCTTCTTCAATCAATCCATTTAATGAGGTTAGATTTAACTCATTTCTCATTAAAATTTTTTTTGGATCCTGATTCTTTCATTTGTTGTGTAAATTATCAGTGTTGTAGCATCTGCATAATATAATATTTATGCCTTCATCAAATCACCAATAAAATATTGGACACAGTGCTAAGGGAAGCTCCCTAAGATACTCCATTCTCCTTCACTCCATGCTGGGGCTTGTCTTTAATTCTACTCATACTCCTTTAAAAAAAATGTTCTTTCAAAGTACCATATATTTTAACCTGCAGAAGTATGAACGTGGCCCCCAAGGCAGGTTCAAATATGATCTTTTTAAAAACAAATGTTATTGATGTATTTGTTTTTATATCATCTACATTTCCCAATATGTCTTTCTACCTTCTGCTTCCAGAAAGTAAACCTTTATACAAAAAATAAAAATGAGAATACAACAGTTTACCAAAGCAGACCAACATATGTGACATCGTACCCAATATTTCACACTCATAGTCTACTACTTCTTTGGGGATAAATTTGGTCATTGTAATTTTCTAGAAATGTAATACTTTTTTTAAAAAATAATTTTGTACAGAAGCTCTAATTTTGGACACTGGAATCCCATCTTATTTTAATAGCACAGTCAACTAGGGGATTCATGATGACTTACCCTGGATCCAGGATGTCCCGGGATCCAGGTGCACCACAGCAGAGAGTCAGTGGTTATGCATATTTTATGAGTTGCTGACTTTTGGCCCTGCCTCCGCCCCAGCATGGAGCTGCTTCACTTGGTACCACTAATTCAGAGTTAACAAAGACAGAGAATCCTAGAATTGTTAGAGTTGGAACAGATTTTGGAGACCACTTGAACCAATTTCCTCATTTTTCTGATGGGAAACTAAGGTCCAGCACAATTAAATGATAGACAACTATACTTGAAAGAGACTTCAGAGTTGAAAGAGACTTTGCCATCATTTTACAGAGACTTGGAGAGGTTAAGTGACTTGCTCAGAGTTGCACAGTAAGCACCAGAGGTAGTCCTTTCCAGAACTGGAAACTGGTTACAGCTAGCTAAAAACAGAGTGGGGTTAGGACTCAGGGCTCCTGATTTAAATAGTACAACACTATTTCGGTTATACCACAGAACTATTTTTGACCTCATAAAAGTAGCATTATATTGTATATTGTACATATATTATACTATATTATATCACATCCTATTATATCATATCATATATTGTATCATATATTATAGTGTACCGTATCATATTTGTGCACCTGAGTGGTGCAGTAGATGTAATCGTAAAGAAACGAGTTCAAATCCAGATTCAAACCCTTATTAGCTATGACCTTTGACAAGCCATTTAGCTTCTTTGCCTCAGTTTTGTTATCTGAAAAATGAGGATAATAATAGCACCTACCTCCTTTTATGTTGTGAAGATAAAATGAGTTAATATTTGTAAAGCTCTTTGCAAATTTTACTGCACTATATAAATGCTAACTATTATTATTAAATCTATAGACTTATCATAGAGATAACTGAACTATGCATAAAAACCCTCCCTTAACACGCCCCCACTCCACACACACACTCCCTTACCCCTGAAGGTGACCCCTCCAGTTAGCGGAAAGGGCATTGGATTTGAAGTCAGAGGTTCAGCCCTTGGCTCTGCTACTGATTAATGGTGTGACACTGGGCAAACCCATCTCTCTGGGTCTTAGTTCTTTATCTGTAAAATTAGGGAAATTGGACTAGCTGGTTTTTGGGGTCCTCGGCAGTCCTAGGTCTAAGATCCTCTGAGCTCTCGTCAAATGTGTCCTCACACTCTGCTTGGCTCTCATTGGCTCTGCTGCCAGAAGTGCCCTAAGAGATTACCTAGTCCAACCCTTTCTTTTTACAGATAAGGAAATTGAGACTCAGTTGGAGAACTGGGCTAAACCAATGGTAAGCAGCAGAGATGGTATTTGAGTCCAGGTCCTCCAACTCAACATCCAATATTCTTTCCACGCCTACCTGCTGCTTCTCCTTTGCCCCTGTGACCTTCCATTTTGTATCATGCTTATGTAGCTGTTACATCTTCCCATTCTACACCCCTGCCCCCAAGCCCCACTTTTTTTTTTTATAAACTCATGCCAGGCATTGTGCCCACTTTCATCTTCATCTCCCACAAATAGCACAACACCTCCCACATCTCTGGGCCTCAGTCTCCTCATTTATAAAAGGAGGGGGATATACCAGATGTTCTCTAAGTCTCTCTTTCTTGACCCCAAAATCTCTTTCAACTCTAAATCCTATGAATATGGCAATTATCAAATATCTATTAAACAGCAGGAAACCTCACTTGAAAAGCAAGTGACTAGCCACCTAATTAACAAAACAGAGACACCTGGACTAGGCACAAAACAGCCTTCTCCCACCAATCCAAAGTGACCTATCCTTCCATCCTCAATTTTTGCACAGACCTTTGCTTGGTTCTCACAAGGTCATAGGATGTAGAGATGAAAGTGTGCTTGGACGTTACTTGTTTCAATGATTTCATTTTCCAGACGAGGAGATGGGCCCAGAGAAGGGAGGTAACTAGGTTCAGGTCACATGTGCATTGGAACTTGATTCAATGGAAAAATCATTTGCAAATTTTGTTCTACTTTACTATCACCAATTAGCACTTTCACAGTCTAATGTTTCAAGGATCTGACCTCTGATGCTTACAACTTGTGTGCCCTTGGGTATTGCTTCATCTCCCTCCCTGTAAACTGAGGGGGTTGAATTAGAGAGCCTCTAAGATCTCTTTCAGCTCTAGACCTGTGGTCCTATGATCATACGATCTGGGAATTCCTTCCACAAGCAGAATGCAATTCCTCCACACCTTAATAGCTACACGTATTTATTAAGTACCTATTATGTGCAATGTCCTCTGTAATGAGCTAGGGATAATATGGGGAGGGGGGAAAGTTCCTGTTATTATCAAAGAGTGTAAATTATACTAGGAGGTGGGTGGGGGTGAATACAACATTTCAATATGCACATGATTATTTAGGAAAAGAATAATAAAAATTAAGAGAATAATGAAAGGATAGACCATTAGGAGGCCACAGAATCAGTTGAGTCTTGAAAGAAGTGAGATTCTAAAAGGCAGAGGTGAGGTGGGAGTTTATTTCAGACACGAGGAGGGCAGAGGAGTCCAGAGAAGTGAGAGACAGATGCTGAACCCAGGAAGGGCAAGTCAATGTTTCATTAGAACATGTTCTAAGTGAAGGTGAGTAATGAGAAGGAAATCTGGAAAGGCAGCCTGGAACCACACTGTGAAGGGATTTCTATTTTATTATAGAGGCAATGGAAAAGTATTGCCGGGTTTGGGCTTTAGAAGATTTGTTTGGGCAATGATGTGAAAGATGAACTGGAAAAAGAAGAGACTGGACAGTAAGGATACATTAATGGAGAAAAGGCTACTGGAAAAAGATCAATATATGAAGTCACTTCTCTCCCCTCCCACTCCACACACACACACACACACACACATACACACACTCCAAATTGTTTCTCAGGATGTTTGGACTGACCCATGGCTCTATCAACAACATATCAACACAGTTCCTCCAACATTAACTAGTCCCACCTTGGCCAATTTTGATGACTATAAGGTGAAACCTCACTTATTTTTTATTTACATTTCTCTGACTTCATGTCATCAAAAAGGCCTGTTTCATCTCCACTTAAAACACCTTAAAAACCTATCATTTAACTTATTCTCACAATCCCTTTTATGGTGGGAGAGGGCTACATTCCATCACTCTTCTTTTACAAAGGAGGAAACAAAAAAAAATTGAAAGTTATCCATTGGGCTTCTAGGTAGCATAGTGGACCTAGGCAGATCTAAGTTCTAAGATCCAAATCCTGCCTCAGACAATTCTTAGCTGTGACCTTGGGCAAGTTACTTAATTAACTCTGTTCTTCAATTTCTTCACCTGGAAAATCAGGATAACAATAATACCTACTTCCCAGAGATGTTGTGAGGAACAAAAAAGATAAAGTTATGTACAGAAGGCACTTTGCAAATCTTAAAGCACTGTGTAAATGCTAGTTATTAATGCTGCTATTGTTTTTATCCAATGTAAAAATAAAACAGAACTGGGAGAACCCTGGGAGCCAGGCCAATATTCCTTCCAATACCTAGGTTTACTGCCAAAGGGGAGGGAGGAATCTGGGAGGTCAAAGCATACCAAGCATTTGTTGACTGATACAGAGCAAGAAAAACTTGGTCCTAATTGTTGTGAGCAGTAAATGTTCACATAGAGCTGAAACCCCTGTGGGTGTTTCTTGTTAAAATGTCTAGCACAGAGAGGTTTGCATCAGCAACTCAAGCTTTAGAGGGTCACAGACAACAATTCAAATCTGCAGTAGGATTCTAAGGGGTGTAGAGGAATTGAGAAGGATGTTGGGGCAGGGGGCTAGGGACCAGATGATGGCTAGAATACAGCCGATGGGAGCATTGGAAGTGTGACCTCCTAGAACGGGGCATTTCTGGTTTTCCTCTCACCATTTTAAATTACTTTGTATTTATGTTGTCTCTGTTTTGTTTTTGTCATTGTTCTTGTTGTTCAATCATTTCAGTTGTGTCTGGCTCTTCGTGACCCCATGTGGGGTTTTCTTGGCAAAGATGCTAGAATGGTTTGCCATTTCCGTCCCCAGTTCATTTTACAGATGAGAGAACTGAGGCAAGCAAGGTTAAGTAACTTGCTTATGTGTCTGAGGCGGATTTGAACTCTTCCTGACCCCAGGCCTGGCGCGCTATCCGCTTCGCCACCTAGCATTTATCTGTGTCCATTTTGCTTTGCTTCAACATAATACAAGCTAGCAGGGGATGCAAGCAAACAACATGGTATGGCAAATAGTGTTGGGTGTAAAGCCAGTTTGATTGTTGCCTCAGACATTTACTATGTGATTCAGGGCAATTAATAGGATTATAGATTTAGAACGGGAAGGGACCTTAGAATCCATTTAGTTCCCCCGCCTCCATTTTGCAGATGAGGAAACTGAGACAGAGAGACATTATCTGTAAAACAGAGATAATGATTGCACCTACCCCACAGGATTATAAGATACTATACACAAAACACTTTGCAAACATTAAAGCGCCATATAAATATTTGTCATTTTTATTACTGACAGCCAGGACTGTTGTATTCACCTATACCTATCACAGTACTTGGCACAAAGTAGATGCTTAAGAAATGCTTCTTATATTTATTAAGAATAATAATGATTAAGTAACTTTCCCAGGGTCACACACTTAGGATTTGTCTACAGCAGGATTCGAAGTCAGAACTGCCTGGATTTAAGTCTACTGTGTCTGCCACTTAGGGGGCAGCTAAGCGGCCCAGTAGATGGAGTGCTTCGCCTGGAGTCAGGAAGACTCATCTTCCCGAGTTTAAATCTGGCCTCATATACTTGCCAGCTGTGTGACCCTGGGCAAGTCACTTAACCCTGTTTGCTTCAGTTTCCTCATCTGGCAAACCACTCCAGTATTTCTGACAAGAAAACTCCAAATGGGTTCACAAAAAATCAGACGTGACTGAAATGTCTGAACAACAAAAACCAGTGTCACTGAGGAGTGACTGATTAGTGAATTAGGAGGAATTCCCTCCTCCCTAAATGCCACCTCTCCTGCTCTTGCAAATCCCATTACTAATCAAGGGTAGATTAAGATAAGAAGTGGGGACCAAGGTTAGGAGAAATGAGACGCTTCAGAGGCAGCAGAGAAGAAAAATGGGATGTGGCCAACTTGATTCAATAAGTGGTTGTGAAGATTTTACCATATTCAAGGGCCTCTCTCACAGTTGGTTTATAAAGGATGAACATACTTCAGGCCCAGAACGAGCTGTACATATATTTAGAGTTGTATTCATCTATCATAATATGTTCCAAACAGCCCATCTTCATAATCTCTAACTATATCATACACCTACTAGTCACTGTAATATTAAATGATGACCTTGATGTTAATAATCGCTAGCATTTATATGCTGCTTTAAGATATGTAAAACACTTCACATATTGCCTTATTTGTTCCTCACAAGAACCCTGAGAAGTGGGTGCTATTATAACTCCCATTTTACAGATGAGGAAACTGAGGCACAGAGAGGTTATGTGACTCACCCAGGGTCACACAGCTAGTAAGTATCTGAAATCCAAATTTGAACTTGAACTCAGGGCTTTCTGATTCCAAATGCAGCACTCTGTGCCACCTAGCTCCCAAGGGTTGACACTGAGTCATATGATACATAACAACTCACATTTACATTGTGCTTTAAGAATTAAACATTGCGTTCCATATTCAAACAAATTGTCTTTAAATCTAATTAAATCCACTGAAACATTTAAAGAGAGGAAGCCTGGGGATGCTAAGGTTTTTAGCCCAGCTTTTCCAGATGCTTACTGCCTAACTTTGAGACAAAGCAATCCACGTGATGTATCCTCATCAAGAAGATAAGTATGCCATTGCTCCCTATCTCTCCCTGTTACACTGGTGTAAATGGACAAATCAGAAATGTTGGGCATTTTCTTTTCCCCCTCAGGGGTGACATTAAGGCCAGATGTTTATGGTGAAAGAGGTCTACAAATCTTCTACAATGTTTCTGATAACACTTCCTGGAAAGATCTTACCCAGACACTTCATATGTTTTTGTCAGGTAAAGTAAAAAACTTTTTTTTGTTTAACTTTGACTTTCCAAGAGGGAAAATAATGAAGAAGCCAAATTTAAATCACATGTATTATTAACCCCACTTTATAGATGAGGAAAACCGAGATTGTGAAGACAAATGATTTGCTCGTTAACACAAAGCCCATAATTACCATAAATATCTCTCTAGATCCTGACTTCACATATCTATGTAAAACATTGAGACATTTAATTTTTCTCCCTGAAATCATCCTAATAATCAGGATATTTCAGGCAATCATTGAGGGGGGGGGGATTTTTTAGCCTGAATTACACAAATAATGCTTCATTTGCTTTGCATGTATAGACACAGTCGTCTATGTCTGTGTTTACACATAGACCTGTACTGATGTCTCAGATCTTTCGATGACTTGCCTTGTGATTTTGGGCAAATCTCATATGATCTCACAAATCTCCTCATGAATGGGGGGCTCACCCAACCGCTAAGGACCTGAGGCTAAATGGAACAACAGCATTGGAAGCTCTTTGGGCAGCTCAGAAGAATTAGATTTAGTGAGATACAAATCATATTCTATCATCACTTGACTTTTCTTTAAACCTATTTGATCTTTCCTTGCCTTTTGGGTTTGGACTTATGACCTCACAGGTATGTGGAACTCTTCATCAAATAAAATTCTTTTTTTTAAAGGAAATTTCTGTTGTGAGGTTTCCAAGGGCAATTTAACATTGTGTGAAATTTAATGTCACTCTAATTGAAAATCCTTCCTCCTCAGTGAGTGAGCTAAGATAGAACTTCCAAGTGAGAGTATGGTGATACACAAATAAGGCAGTTCATTCCACCAGTGCAAGGTTGGTGAAATTCATTGTTTGCCAAACTGTCATCCCATTACAGCTTACTCTCCAGAGGCACAAGAGGAAAATATAAACTGCTCGTCCGGGCAGTACTTCATTCAGAAAGAATTTCATGCTCCAAATCACACCAAGTTTTCCTGCAAGTTCACAGCAGATATGCTTCATAACTGCTCAGGCCTGACAGATCCTAATTTTGGATTTGAGGAAGGAAAACCATGTTTCATCATTAAAATGAATAGGGTAAGCATTGAGTTTCCAAAAGGCTGGTGCTAATCATGAGTATTAAGACTCAACACCCAGTATAATTTCTTCCTTTAGATAGAGGTAGTTCATGGAATGATGGGAATCCTTGTACTTAAGCTCTACTCAAGTTAAAGTATATTCAGTTCAGGAAGATCCTGCCTCCCACACTGCTTTTTCATCCCTTTGCTATGAGCGAAACAAAATCAGCAAATGGTTGTCCTGTACCCATTACGTGCATGGCACTATGGTCAACACTATTGGATACTACAAATGGAAAACTTCTCAGAATCATGATTTCATAAAGAAAAAATATGGTCAAACCCTTATAAAACCATTCCACAAAATATTATCACAGAAAGTTTAAAAGGTATATATACATATATATATATATATTATATATATATATATATATATATATATATAATATATATATATATATATATATCCTTACCTCACTTGTGTTTATATAGATAAAACACATATGTAAATACGTGATATACCATTATACACTCAACAAATTTATGGAACATTGTGGGGCAGACAAATAAGTTTTATAAGACATAATAACAGGCAGCTAGGTGACACCATGGGTAAAGCACTGGGCCTGCAGTCAGGAAGACTCATCTTCCTGAGTTCAAATCTGCCCTCAGATATAGCTATGTGATCATGGGCAAGTCACTCAACCCTGTTTGCCTCAGTTTTCCCAACTATAAAATGAAGGGGAGAAGGAAATGGCAAACCATTCAGGTACCTTTGCCAAGAAAATCCCGAATGGGATCATGAGTTGGACATGACTGAAAATGACTGAAAAACAGCAATTATAGACAATCATATGTTATAGGTTGAAGGGATTTTAGAGATCTTTGGTTCAGACCCTCACAGTTTATAAAGAAACTGAGGCTGGGGAGCACATTTAAATTGTGCTTTTAGGTTTATAATTCACTTTCCTCCTAACAACCCAGAGGCGTAGAAAGTGGTGCATAAATTATGTACTCCCATTTTACAGCTGAGAAAACTGAGGCTACATGAAATTAAATATTTTACACAAGTGTTAAGAGCTAAGATTTGAACCCAGTCTCCTGATTCCAAATTCAACATTTTTCTTTCCTTTCAGGGATTTAAGATCTAGTTGGGAATATAATGCATATGAATAATGATGCAAAATTCTGCAGAATCAAAAAAGCTGAGATTTTTGGAGCTGGAAAAGACCTTGGAAAATTCCCAAATCCAACTCATTTTTACAAAGAAAAAAAAACAAAAAAACAACACCCAGGTCCATCAAGAGAAAATTGGTCTCAATAATCTAAAGGCCCTTCCAGCACTAACATTTGATGTTCTTTGACTATGTCAGAATATGACAAAACTTGTAAGCTAAGAGACTTGTCCAGGCTCATGACTTCCAGTCCAGAGCTTTCCCTGCTATACCATATACAAGGCCTCTTAATGGGAAAATCAAACGTGTATTAGTGGGATGGGCAATACAAGCCAAAGAAGGGATGGGTTATTTCCTCCTGGGGTGATCAAAAAAGGCTTCATGAAAGCTAAGAATTTGAGCTGAGCCCTGAAGGATTGTTAGAGTTCTGATACGTGGAATTTTGGATTGAGAGGTGGAATGAGGACAATTTGGGGAATGAGGAAAAGCAAAGGTGTAGGAAAATCTATTTCATCAAGAGATGGCGACTTGGCCAGAGCAGTAGAAAGTGTGTGCAAGGAAAGGACAGCTGCGATTTATATTCACAGTTTTTAAGGACCAGCAATACCTGGCTAAGTACATAGTCCATTAACCAATGAAGGTCGGTTTGGGAGTTGTTCATTAATTCGTTATCTGGAAACAAATCATTCAACAAAAGTGGAGTTAATTAGATTAATCATTGCTATGGTCTTTGTGAAGAACAGAATTTAAAAACAAAACAAGATTACTCATCACAAACCCTATGTAAATAAGTTGGTGAAACTCAATAATTCCAACACAAAACACCCAAATATATAAATATTATGTATTTAAAGTCTCTTCAGGGAGCCAATTTACAGGGTTTTTTCCACTTATAAGTAAAAATGACTTTTAAAACAGGCGTTTCTTTCATATAAATGCAGAAATGGCCACATTCATTTTCTGGATGCACAGTAAAAAAAAAAAGCTTACTAAACCATTTATTCCTTTTGACCCAGCTATACCACTATCAGGCCTCTACCTTGAAGAAATCAAAGAAAGAAAAGAAGGATCTATACGTACAAAAATACTTAAAACTCCTCTTCTGATGGCAGTCAAACATTGGAAATTAAGGGGGGGGGAATAGGGTATCTTCCTATAGGTGAAAGGCTAAACAATCATAGTATAATGAATGTAATGGAATGTTATTGTGCCATAAGAAATGCTGAAATGCACAGTTTCAGAGGAAACTGGGAAGACCTTTATGGGCTGTTGTTCAGTCGTTTCAGATATTTGGGGTTTTCTTGGCAAAGACACTAGAGTGGTTTGCCATTTCCTTCTCCAGCTCATTTTACAGATGAGGAAACTGAGTCAAACAGGGTTAAGTGACTTGCCCAGGAAGATGATTTTTCCTGGCTCCAGACCCAGCACTCTATGAACTGTGCCACCTAGCTTCACAAAGTAAATACAGTAGAAGTAGAAGAATCTACACAATAACACTATAGAGAAAAACGGCTTTGAAGGACTTTAGAACTGTATGAAACACATGTCCATAATGATGAAAATGAAACACACTACTCACCTCTAAACAGAAAAGAGATGAACTTAAAATGCAAGAGATAAATGCTTTTGGACATGGCTAATGTGAGAATTTGTTTTGCTGTGTTATTCAGCTATCCATTCAGGGATTTTAAAAACCTTTTTGTCTATTCTTTAAAATGTGATGCTCAATGAGGAAAGGGATAGTGAGGAAGATTAATTCTTTTAAAAAACTTACATGAAGAAATAAAAACAATAAAGAAAAAAATAAGTAGCTTGTTTTCAACGTGTTTAACAGAAATGTCTTTTTCTTTCCCAGATAGTCAATTTTCTCCCTAGCAACAACAACACCGTTCCCAGGGTGGACTGCACATTCCTAGTAAGTCTCACCCTTTTTCTATTCCAGACCTATTCTACAGTAATCAGTACCTAGCAAGTAACCTGGCAAACAGTAGATATTTAATACATTCTTTCTGATTGATGATATAATGAATATAAAATGCAAGCTCGATGAGTGAACAGTATAACTAGAGGAATAACATGAAAATAATGAGACCAATGGTTACATTTATCAAAACACTGTTGAAAACAAGACAGTTGACAGCCCTAGACAGACCACATGAAGACAAATGTATAGTCACATCTGGACACCATATTTTAGGAAAGATGTCAGCAAACTGGAGTACGTTAAGAGGACGGTAAGGGTAGTGAGAGGGCTGGAACCTATGCCATGAGGGTAGGTTAAGATAACTAAGGAGGCTTTACACGGGGAGGGATTAGTCCTAAGCAAAACAAATTCTAAAGATGTACAAAAATATTGAAAGCTTCCCTTTTTGTGTTGGCAAAGAATTGGAAACTGACGAGGTGCCTATTAATTGGGGGATAGCTGAATAAGTTATGATGTACGAATGTCAGAGAATACTCTTGTGCTGTATGAAATGATGAAAGCAACAGTTTTGGAGAAAATCAGCAAAATCTATATGATACAGAATGAAGTGAGCAGAACAAGAGAACAATTTATACAATGAAAACAGTATCATAAAGATGAAAAACTTTTGAAAGACTTAGGAACTATGACCAGCCTAATTACCAATCACAATTCCAGAGGACTCATGATGAAGCATGCTACCCAACTCCTGAAGAGAGGTGAAGGACATACGCATGTAGATTGAGATGTGTGTGTGTGTGTGTGTGTGTGTGCGTGTGTGTGTGCATTAAGACACAACCAATTACGGAACCTGTTTTGCTTGACTATACTTGGTAACAAGGGTTTTGTTTTCTCAATTGCAGACTGGGGAGGTGAGAGAAAAAGCAGATTTTTGCTGATTAATAAAACAACAACTTTAATAAAGGATGCTTTACCTAGAGAAGGCAAGGCTTGGGGGGTTGGCAGGATGTAGAGAGCTATTGTCAACTATTTATTAGGCTGTCTTGTGCAAGAGGGATGAGCCTTGTTTTGATTGGCTCTAGACTGCAGAACAATGAGAACAGCAAGTGGGTGTTCTGAAGAGATGTGAGGGAAAAACTTCTGAATAATTAAAGCTATTCCAAACTGAGAGGCAATATAATGTAGTAGCAAGATCACTTGAATTAAGACTTAGAAGTCCTGGATTCAAATTGTGAGGCTGTCATTTACTACCTTGTTTGACCTTGAGTAAGATTTACACTTTCTGGTCCTGTTTCCTTACCCATAAAAGGGGGATAAGCTGCCTCAAGAAGTAGGGTATTCTATTTTTCAATTCAATAAGCATTTATTAGATACCTTCTGTGTACCGCATCACTAAGGTCTTCAACCTCTGCTAGGAGAGACATAGGTTAGGTTTGGACAAGAAGACTTCTGAGGCCTCTTCCAACATTGAGATTCTACAATTTGAGTCATGTTTTTCAGACAAAAAGCAGTTTAAAAAAAAAAACTACCATAAATTAGTTTTCTTGACAGTTTTATGCTGTTAAGAGAATGAAATTCATGATAACAACTTCACATTTCCTGTGACTATCCTTTTGCTTAATAAAGCAATTTTAAAAAGCAAAATAATATATAGCTTCAAGGTAGGTCAATAAAAGAAAAAAAAAATCCATGAATGATGAGAGCAGAAACTGGCTATTGTTACCTTACTTAACAAATATATCCAGAACAGCATCACTCAAGAGAAATATGCAAAATGCTTGGTGATAATTCTGATGAAGAACCAAGGTAGTTTTACTTCCTCCTAAAACAATATCGTAATTCATTTTGTATATACTTATATGTTCATGTTGTTTCTGTGGTTAAGAATGTAAGCACTTTGAGAGCAGGTACTATTCCACTTTTGTTGAATTAATATACTGTTAGTATTAATATATAATATTATATAACATAATTATGTGATATAACATAATTATAACATTATCATTAATGTAACACTGATATGTTAATATACCAATCTTGCCATAATCCTTGCCAGAGAGTGCTTAATTTTTGTTGAATGATTATGAAAATGAAATTTAGTTGAATTCACATTATCAACAGATACCACATTAGCAACTTAACATCAGTAAGTATATAGAACATAATATTAAGAGTCAATAATATATTCATATCTACTTCCATTAGAGCCTTATCTGCCAGCTTTTTTAAAAACTTGGAATATTCCTTCTCAAACTAAAATCTGGGTTTTCATGTTAATGATTTAAACATACCTATCCAATTTGTATATTAGTTGAAAACAAAGTAATAAAAAAAAAAGCCCAGTTACAGAGCTTCTAGATTTCAGTACATATTTCATATAAATATCTTTTATTTTTTTTCCTCCAAACTGAAGATCCGATACTGGACAATTTGTTGGTCCTGTTAACAAAAGCAAAACCAAAAACAAATCAGGTGGTTACTGGTGAATACTGAAAAAGGTGTGGAAAGAAAATTTTGTTGCACCTTGATGTCTCATGTAGCAACAAAACATACTTAGTTCTTACTCCTAAATGTGGAAAAACAAGCAATTTCTGTGCTTATGAACATATTTTGGCTTGTCTGTACTTGAGGATGACAAAATATAAGTTCTCTTCAATCAATTTATTCAGGAATGTACACTCAGCACTATTACTTACAGTTAAATTCCACGGGACAAGTTGATTATAAAGATTAAATAGTTTACAGGAATGGCTCAATATTTCTATTATCACTTATCTGATAAGCTAAACCTGATAAATAAGCAACTTGCCACTATCCAAAGTAACTGGATTAAAAGTTTATTTCTCACTCTTAGGAAAAGGACCACAAAGACTTCAAACCTCTAGAAGTGGACTACTACCCATCCAATGGTACTTTTAGTCTACACTACTTCCCTTATTATGGGAAAAAAGCACAGGTATATTTTTGAATTTATTTCTTTTCTATTATACTGACATCATCGGATTCTTAGCTGACACAGCCAAGACTCTGGCCTTGGAGTAAGAAAGGCTTTCAATTAGAATTACACCTGGCATTTACTGGCTGTTGAGGACATAGGCAAGTCTCTGGCTTCAGGCCACTAAGGCTACATAGGCTTGTTAAGGATCTGTGTTCATTAAGGAAGTTCTTACACTGATGACATACAGAAATTTGATGTCCTATTCTTGGCATTCTCCAATGAATGCTACAAAACTTTCCTTTTATCAAGTCTTCAACTGTGTCTCCATACTTATGACTTAGCTTCTTACTTCACTGGAAAAATTGAGGCTTCTCCAATAACCCTTCTCTACTCCTCAAAACTTCACAGTAATATCAACTCTTTCCTCGTCTCCAGCTCTGAGGGAGAGGCATCATTAAATGTAAACTAACACTGATTCCTTAACTCGGCCCTTGATCCCACCCTTTCCCACCTTCTTCTGCACTTTGTTCCAAGCATTGATTTCCTCCCTCTCATGTATCTTCAATCTCTGGGTCCTCCCCATTTGTCTGCAAATATGTTTGGGTCAATGTGATCCCAAAACTGCCTTCTCCTGACTTTTTAAAATATCTCAATCTTGTATTTACATCACCTTCATTTCTATTATTTTCTCCCTTTCTCTCACTCAACAGACCATTCCTAGCAAACAACAACAAAAAAAGAATAAATTGGTGATTCAGCAAAATTTATTTACCATATCAGTAGTCTGACAATACACACAATTTTCTGGTGTATAACCAATCCTCCCACCTCTGAAAAGAAGGGGGTAAGGTGCATTTTCATCTCTCATCTACTTTATCTCCTTTCCTGTCAACTACTGAAAAAGTTGCCTACTCTAGATGTCTTCATTACACAAACATTTCCTCCTCAAATCTGGCTTTTGCATCTATTACAACTCATTGAAATTGCTCTCTGGGCTCTAATGAACTTATCATAACACCACTTCCTTCTTTATGTTCTCCTCCTATGGCTTCAGATCCATATAACACACTCCTGGTTCTATTTTCTTTCTAACCAGTGTCTTGTCCACTGACTCCTTGCCAGTTAAAGATGCATTTCCTTGAGGTTTTGTGCTTGAGTCCCTACATGCTTGCAGTACTTTCCCTTTGAAATCTCAATTTTGTGGCTTTAAAAATCTATGCATACAATCTCCAAATCTATATCCTCAAGCCCTGACTGATACCTGTGACCCGAGTCTCTAGTTGCTTATGGGATATTTGCTTAGATGTTCCATCTATCCACTGTAGCACACCTAACATGTCCCCAGATGAACTTCTTGGAACATGGCTGCAACTTATTTACCAACTTCCCAGGTTTGAAAATTTGGTTATAGTCTCACCCTCACATTCAGTAACCAGATCCTATTGATTTCACCTCTGAAATATCCCTGGCATCTATTCTGTCCTTTCTATTACCAGTACCACTCTCCCAGTAAGGCCCTCCTTGTCACACATCCAGACCGTTGCAACAGCTGCCTCAATAGGTTTTCATCTTGCCTCCACCGTCTCTAAGGACTTTCCTTAGTCACAGATCTTACGGCATTTCTTGGACAAATTTAGCAGTTCCCTATTCCTCAATGAATCACATTTAAACTTCTTTGTGTCCCCAATCTAGTACTTTCTCTACCTTTCTGGTCTTTCATATTCTAGGGTTTCATATTCTCCACCATTTTATGCTCTAGCCAAGCTAGATTGCTCTGTGACAAAACTAAACTGCTCAGGTCCCTGAATACCCTGCAGTGCAGATACTTCTGGCTACTTCTAATTGTCCTCCATATTTAAAATGTTCCTCCCTTCTCTTTCTCTCTCAAATTCCCACTTACTCTTTACAGTACAATTCAAATGCTACATTTTCTATAAAATATCCCAAGGTACGATAACCTTTCCCATTTCCCACCCTTTTTTTCATATATAATTTCCTCCAGACTAAACTGTAAGCTCTTCAAGGGCAGGGATCTCTGGTATACTTATATCATGTACCATCATCTTTTATTATATATGTCAATTTCCCCAGAGTACATTAGAACCTCCTCACCACAGCAATCTTTTTAACTTATGATATCTCTTCCCAGTACTTAGTGTTTGGTGGATAATTGATGGTTAATAAATATTTGAGGAAGTGAACTATTAACTACTGATGTGCATTCTGATGTCAGGTAAAAAAAAATACATGTAAAAAAAAAGAAAGGCATTATTTAATGCTAACCTTTGCCTATCAGGGAACCCAATGCTCCCCTACCAATCCTCCCATGAAATCCTAAATCATTCCTTTCCTTGGTTATGGAAAGATGTGATCTATTTTTTCTTTTAATCAAAAGGGGATAATAAAGTTTTGGAAACCCCAGTTGCCCACTTTCTTACTCTTGCTTTAAATATACTTATCTCAAATATAATATATCTAATTTGTTCCTGCATGCACTTCTCTACAGTACATAGTAAATAGTAAATGCTGCTAAAATACCCCTGAGAAGGGTTAATTAGATGTCTGAAGCATAGCCTTCTCCCTATAACACTCAGTTTTGTAGGGGAACACGACATGATTTTCCAGACAGTGACTGCTTCCATTATCAACTCCACTAAAACCATGTTTCACATTCACTTTCCTTAAATTTGTTGCTTAAATAAACAAAACCAAAAACAATTTCAGGAAACCTAAAAGTAATTATCCATCTTATGCTTCCCTTCCAGCCCCACTATAGCAATCCACTAGTAGCGGCCAAATTCCTCAACATTCCCAAGAACAAAGAAGTTATCATAGTGTGTAAAATCATTGCAGAGAATGTAAGTTTTGACAATCCTCATGATCCATATGAAGGCAAAGTGGAGTTCAAACTTAAAATCCAGAAGTGAAACAAGCACAGGTGAAGACTTTCAAGAAGGCTGGTCAACATTTCGAAAATTATGAACTATTGCTTGTGTTATACTGATTTGCAAAATCCCATATGAAATCAACTTCAATTTTTTTTTTCTCTCAATACCAATGCTGAAGTCAACTTGATAATTTCTGAGAGGCAACTGGGTGAAAACCACTGGGTATTTCCTATGACATCCATACTTCCAGGGCTCCATTAGTGAGGCTTTGTGGCTACAGTAAAGATTTGCTTGTCTATTACAGCAACCCTTACTGGGAAACCATTTAGTGAAGGACATTATGACTGACATCTTTATCTCAATAGTCACTTTCCTTAGTATAATTCCATGTGTTTTTCTATTGTTAATGATTATCCGATTAATGTAAAAGCTATTGGCCATGTGTCATAAAATAATGGCTTATGATAACAGACATTCTGTATTCTTGCTTTTACTAATGATAAGAAAAATTTAGACATATATCCAAGTTATTCTTATAGTAACAAGAATATAGTTTTCTTTAACTGGACATCTACAAGTTTTATTTGGATTATTTTCTAGGTTAAAAAAAAGGAAATGATATGAATATTCAACTTTCAATTTGATGTCCTTATTTAAGTTTCCATGATAAATGATTTTGGATGTGAGTTACACAATATAAATATTAACCACTAAAAATTCTTTATTTACACCTTTGTACACAGGCATATTAACTTAAAGAATAAGTGGCCAACTAGTTAAATACTATATGGCTTTTTTTTTAAGCAATAAAGAATGGCTCCCAGACCCTGAGTAATTAATCCGTGACAGCAAATTTGCAAAACCAAACACTTCCAGGATCCATCATGTTGGTTCTCTGTCCTCTATTCCTAGTTGTAACTCTTCTCACCCTTATAGGCTGTCTCTGTGAGCTGCTGGGAGTGAAAATATTTATCATGCAAACCCTCTGGTGATGAGCATCTCTATCGTATGAGGGCTGGTCTTTGGATGATTGCCAGGTCCATATTTAAAACTCAGTAAGAAATACAGTGTTTAAGCTCTACTGATAACCTGTTTCATAGAATCATAGCTTTAGAGTTGAAAGAATCCTTCGATGTCACTGAGCCAACCTCCTCATTTTACAAGTAGAATCGGGATAAGAATCCAAGTGCTCTTGAGCAGAGGTACTAAATGTGTGGCCAACAACACTCAAGTGTAGCCTGAACCAACTTAAAATGTAACTGGAAAATATTTAACAAAATAAATAAAAATACAATAAAACATGGAAATGTCACATTTCAAAACTAAGTCAATAGGCAGCTTGCAGGGATCACTGTGTACAGATTAGTTTCAATTTCATTTTGATGCCACTGTTCTAGAGGTCTCCAATTCAATGACCTTTCCCTGCCTCTCGCTTTTGGATTGCTTTTAGGGTTAGTAGGTACGTCCTTATGTTAGGCTGAAACACCTCACTGTAACTTGTGCCCATTTATTCCTGGAGTTCTTATCTTGGACCAAGCAAGAGAAGTTTTATTACTACATTTCCCAGAAGACAGCACTTCTAACACTTGAAGATAGCTATTATGTCCACCGATCTCCCCTCTTTCCACCAGAAGCCTTTTCTTCAGGCAAAGCCCCTGGGAGTCTATGAAAGGGATAGCATGGGTACAACTGCCACAGTCTGGTGGATGCACAGACTGGTTGAGACTTGGCCACGGTCACAGAGCAAGAAGCAAGCAGTTGAACTGGAATTCTCAGCTAAGATTCTTTTGACAGACCACATAGCCTCTTTCAGGAAGGATCACCACTATCTTGACTTATTATCAGGTACTTGGGGAAGAACTAGAGAAACAATAATCAGAAACAAACAACTAAGAAGGAATTATAAATCTCACATGAACTGACAACTTAGAAACCATAAACTGGGATTCAGACTGATCTAAATATTCAATAATTTAACCCTATGTTCTGTTTTGGGGGTAACCCCTGCCAATTTTCCATGACAATGAAAACTAGCCCCAAATATTTAGCATTAATATTGTCAACCCATAAACCACTTATTTAATATTTGAGCCTCTATTCACTCATCAATAAAAATGATGTAGGAATAAAAACATTATATCTAGGTAAAATCCTCGGTCCAGCTTTACAAAACACTATATTAAAAATGCACTGGTTAGATCATTCCTAAAATCTAAGGGCTTTATATAGTTGCAAATACCCAATGACTACAGGTTCTAACCTCAATGTAAGTGACTGTTTTAGTTGTAGATAAAAAATTCACAAAGGTGCAGGAGGGGAATTTCCACAGTGCCCTCTTGTATTCTCCATTACTGCCACTGAGCTAAAGCTCTAAAGACACAGAATTCCACGTAACTGATATCTGGATTGTGAACAACAGACTGTTTAAGCAGTGTGTATGCAAGCCTTTGACTATATTTCAAAGTCAAATGAAAATTCTTAGATTACCTGTTTTGAATTTTCTATTCCTCTTTTCCCTTCCAATAGCATAAATAATGAAGAACTGGTTAATACATTAGCCATAATAGTTATGTTTTCTAATCAGTCTCTGAAATGTAAAGTAAAAGGTGTCATTGATATTTCCTTCATATTTAAAGTACATTCTTGAATGGTTGATTCCACTATGTTACTGGACATAAAGATGTTTAAAAAACCAGATCTCTTGATGACAGAAGGAAAGCATATGGTATCAGAAGCATGCTTCTATCTCATAGTTAAGTCTCAATCATATATAGCAAGAGGGGAATGGAACAGCGTGGCTAAACAAATATAAAGTTCACCGAATTAATTATTTCAACTTCCAATTACATCCAAACACTACTAGAATTAGTTGATTAGATTGACTGATTTGAGTTTCATCATTCCCTGTTCATTCCCTTAAAATGAGTTTATAAGGTTTTTACATATGAGATATTTATCTTGAATGATCAAACGTTGACTGTACATTTATTTACATGGGTAATTTTTGAGACTTTCTTCCCTTCTGAATTTCATTAACCTATTTCATTTATTAAAGGATATCAAGATTAAGTAAATGGCCATAATTTTCACTTTCTCCTCAATAAAGGGTCATCTTTTCTAATGGTCAAAAACCTTAAAAAAATCCATTGTCATGATGTTACTTAAGTCAAAATCAACACATAGCAAATTAGCGGTATAGAAACCGAGATGTATGGCGTCATTCATGTAAGTAAAATTTGTAAGTCACTTTCAATTACCTATTATCATGAGGGTGAGATGAAAACCTGTCCCAATTATTAGGGCACTGTAAAAGTTACTGTCTGTCAGAAAATAAAGCCATCTTTTATGTTATATACATTATTATCTTATTTCCTTCAGTATTCCATAAATTAGCCAGGAGGACACTGGTTCTTCTGGCCCTACCACCTCCATGCAGGTGAATACTGTAGTCAGGTATAATCAGCATGGGAGGTCAAGAAATAAAACCCCTCATAAATGCAACATAGGGCAATGTTAGGAATTAAGGGTGTCACAAAGTTCGTCACCAGGGTATATCTTTTAGGTCCTGGCAATTCAATTTCACTCAATTTTTAAAGCAAAGCCAGACCAAAAAAAAATTCTAGACAGAATAATCCTGAATTAGAAAAACACAGAGCTTGTTTAAAATGCCCATGCGCGTTTTATTAATAAAAACTAACAGTGCCAAGTTAAACAAGTCAAACAATTAAAGTCTCTTTAAATTCCATAAAATATTACAGAAAAGTTTATTTGTGTTTCAATAAAAAGACTATTGTCTTTGTACAGGCAGCTGACAGCATTTGTGCAGTTAATTTTGCTTTGTGAATAAATTTAAAAAGAGACTACACCGCCTGCCTGAAATGCCTTTTTTTTTAATAAAAAAAGAACTATTAAAAATGATTGACAAATTTTGAGTTAAAAAACTGTTAAAACATTTTCTATATTTAATTTCAACTTTATAATAGATTACAGGAAGATGCTTACGAAACAAATACAAACATTTGTTTCTGTACATGTCTTTAAATGATAGACTTATAAGTATGTAAACAACTATATAATAAAAAGTTTCCAAAGTCTGCCTGTAAGAAATCAGGCAAATTTTACATAAGCAATAAATCATTCCAAACCTTCAAGATATTTTATATAGCTGCACCAGCATGGCAGTAAACTTTTGCCAAACAAAAACTTTTTTTTTTAACCTTTTTAATCCATACATACCAACATATAGAGGAAAATTATATAAACTTGATGGAATTACAACAGTAAATATAATTTAAGGGAAATAAATTCATAGCATTTATGGAGCTTAATGTTTAAAAAAGTAAAACTTTTTTTTTGTTTGGTTCTTTGGACATTGAATAATTTAGCAAAATAAAAACGTATCATTTGCTATCCATCAATTAGTGGCACCACTCAAAACACTCTGCAAATAAATGGCCATTCAGTGAACCATTTTCCACAAAAGGATAGCCTTTTATTTTCATTGATGTGGATGAAGTACAATTTCTTCAACAAATTCAGCGAGAATTGTTATGGGGCAAAATGGACATTCCTTCAAGTAAAAAATATTAGAAAACAAAACACAAAATCCTACCGAGTAAATAAAGGATCTGCATTAGCACACTGGTATCAAAACACACATTCACACCACATTTTAAAAATCCTACGAAAAACAATCCTTGCTTGCTTATCAGAGCCGCACTCTCTAAATTCAACAGCTTACCAATATTTCCTTAGGGGTAGGATCAAAAATAAAAATAAAAATCCACATTTTTAAAAAAAGTTCTCTTCCCTAGAACAATTTATTCCTGAAGCTGAATTTGAAGGGAGGGAAACGTCTACACGCCAAGAAATCAGTCTTCATCATCATTTTCATTAAAGTCATCATCATCGTCATCGTCTTCCCCAACGTAAGATACTGGAGTTTCAACTCTGGAGCCACTGTACTGAGAGCCGTTGGAACTCGTTGCCAACATTCCATCTGTACCATTGGTAAAATCACTGCAGGGTGAAAAATAACAGCTGTCATTGTAGTCCCCAAGGTGAACTTCTTTTTTTTTTTTAACTTAAAGGGCTTAAGAAGGGCAGTAGGCAATGCATTCGTAGTGTAAGTTTTTAAGGTTTGGACATAGAAGCGTAAACACATAGATCAATTGTCATTGACACAGAATCTTTTGCCCTCCAGGAACTTTCACTTACAGTGGCATATTTGTCCTCATAGTATTCCTATGAAGAATATGGTGACAGGCTAGGAAACTAGCTCTCCAAAGATTCATAACTTATTCAAGTCTACACAGTAATCACAATAGTGATAGCATCTAAGTGACACCTTCCCACAAGGAGCACAAATGATGGGCCAATTTGTGTAATGGTTTAAAAAATATATATTTGCTGCCAATCAACATTTCAGACAATTTGATACCCACCAGTAACCTGTACTACGTGACTTGTTCAGGGTCACAAGTAAGTGGCAAAGGCAGTTTTCCTGACTCCAATTCTAGCACTCTAACTTCTGAACCACTTAGCTGCCACAGGACCTAAGGTCCCTGCACAGATGCAGAACTTCTCATGATATATGCAATGGGCTAAAATAGGAAATGCTACTCTATGTCTACTTGAGAGCTAGCTACACACCTTTCCATCAGTAAGATCTCCCCAGATGGCACCATTTCTAGAACATTTCTGGGATTCCAATCTACTTGACTCAGGTTGAAACCAGGAAGATGTCCCAGAGCAAGAAGATCCACAGGCCCAAAATGGTCAAGAACTTGTGAGCTGTTATGCCCAAAGCAGCTAACTGGCAACACTGGGACATCTTTGGTACCCTCCAGCCATTCTGGCAAGCTACCCAAAGATGTCTGTGAACTAAATATCACTGTTGATTAGTATTCAAAAAAACCCAGAAACTTTTAAAACTATTGCAGGAATTCAGCAGGCCCCAAAATACGAGTATATGGCACTTTGCACATACTGCAGAAGGTGCTAAATCCTTAGTAAATTTTAGTTAGTAGTGATGATAATCATAAGCAGCAAAGCCAAGCATTCAAAGCAAGCTTTTTTTTACTTCCGATGTGCTTCTTCTTCTATAAGACCACTGTTGTAAGCATATCACGAGAAAAAACAGCTACGGATCTGTCAAAGTACCTTATTATCATTGCTAATGCTTGCCTGATACAGTGATGAATCAGTAGTGTCATGTGTTAGGTAACTTAACTAACGGTACAAATTGCAACATATTTACAAGTTGTCATTCTGTCAGATTATTGTCCATGTCCTTCTATAAATCCCCTATAGAGGATTTCCCTGATACAAGGGAGAGCTTCTTATCTTTATATACCACTGCAAGTGTTGGGCTGTCCACCTCTCATCCCTACAGTGCTAGCCAATTTCTAATAATCTGCTTGATGATGGCTTTGAAGCCACTTCTTACACACAAGTTCTAGCTGGCAATATGAGAAAGTATAGTGGAGTGTAAAACTATCATGTGCTTCTTTCTCCCATGTGCTTTCAGTCAAATAAGCTTTTGATTTCCCAGTGATCATGGTGATCCATGACTGACAGTCATATCCATCAGGAGAACGGTGGTGCTTAAAAAAATATTTTGTGGGTCATGGAGATGTTTAGGAATGTCTTTCCTTGGGAATGTCAAAAACATGGCATAATTGTCCCAAGAATAATATTGCCTATCTGTTTTTATTCAATTCTTCACCTAAGTCATGTACTGTCCCTATTTAAGACAGATGTACTCAAACAACTCAGTGAGCTTCCACTCAACTACATGTCATAAGTTGGGATTCCTCTGTCCATTTATTTTTTTTCCTTCCCCTCTATTTTAGGCTAAAACATTTTAATTGGCTATGGATCTTTTTACTAGGAAAGGCCTAAGATTCTGGAAGCATTACATTTACAGTATCTGTGAACAAGAGCTAGCGTACCCAACCCTTCTTTCATTCCAACTTTATGCAGGACATCCTCCATGACATCCTTTCCTTGATCCTGATAGTTATAACAGACAACATTCACAGAGCACTTTAAAGTTTGGCAAAGTACTTGTCCTATTTGACTCTCACAACAACCCAGTGAGTTAGGTGCTATTATTTTAAATTTCACTTTATGGATGAAGAAACTGAAGCTGAGAAGTTAAGTGACTCGCCCATGGTTAGAGAAGTGGCAATTAGATCATGCAGGAGTTGAATCTAGTCCCACCACCCTCTGTACAAAAGGAATCAAGGAATTGTATCATCTTGTATGCATAAAGGATAGCTTGCTTTAGTTTTGCAGGCTACATTTCAATTAACCAAGTTTAATGATTTTTTTAATAATAAAAAAATATGGAGAAACAAGTTCTTCATACTTTTCAGGCAATTGTGTGACTCCAGCGATATAGAAATGATGTGACTAGTGATACAGATGCTGAAGAAAACGGTAAAAGCCTGTGGGCTCTTTTCATAAGGGGTCCTTAAGGATACCTTCAGTTTATGTATAGATCATGCAGATGAAAGAAAAACAGGTATATAGCTTAGTACTTGATACTTTCTTAGCTGCCTTTTTTTCCTAATAATACTGTCTAGATGTTTTCTCTCCTCTTTTCATTTTTTTCCCAATCCTTGGGATAGCTTGAAAGTGGATGCCTGAATTCCTTCAAAAGTGTGTCACTGACAAAAAACATGCTTCTTCTGTGTGTCCTTGGTTGGGTCAAGCTGCTCCTTCTAACTTCATATGTCTTGATGGTTCCAATGACCAAGAAGAGAAAAGATCATTACACCAAGGATGACCAATCCACTCAATTTTGTGTCATCATGCTTTATAGCCTAAGTTCTATCAGGTTGGATTTGCTTAGTTGGTTTTCATATAAAAATCTATTTGCTTGTTTTATCATCTATTGCTTTGAGATGTGACACCTCCCACTATCTTCAGCAATCCTCCTCCAACACGTTTTGTTAATGGTATACTCAAAATTAGTGTTATCTATGACTGCCATGTTTGTCCGCTTAGCCAGAAAATCAAACACATTTACAAACTGTGGTGGTTTTCAGGGCTGTTTTGGTCTTCCTATTGTGGCAACTGTTTTATAGAAATTAGAATCTCAAAGAAATGGTGATAATTAGATGCCATTACTTTTTTCCCTACTTCTCAAGAGTTGACATATCTAAACATGTCGTGTTTTTAAAGATTTCCTTCTAACAAGGTACATCTCATGTAAATGTTAATTAAGATCATACCAGATTCTCTGACATATATAACAAGAGATAACTCTGTTCGATGATCCTCCAATTATCAAGAAAGCCATAAAACAACTGTAGCCTCAATCAAGGTGTTCACCAATATCATGAAGTATGTGTGCTACACAGAGTCCAAAGAAAACACAGATTTTCCCTATGGAAAAGTCCACGTGATATTTCTGTAGTAGATGTTCTTGCGCTGGATACAATAAGCATTGAAATCTCCTCAATGAGATCTACAACCACTCAAAATAATTCAGCCTAGGAATTCAGAGAAGTTGGTGGAAGAATAACCACAGTCTAGAACAGGGGTGGGGAACTTCCGGTTTTCAAGGCCACATGTGGCCCTCTAGGTCTTCAAGTGTGGCCCTTTGACTGATTTGTTCTGTGAAGTTTGGATTCCATCCAATGGCTGCACTTGAGGACCTAGAGGGACACATGTGGCCTTGAGGCTGAAGGTTCCCCACCCCTTGTCTAAACTGTGACGTACAGCTGAATAGGTAGTCCATTGAGCTGATCCATCAATGATACTCTTTATCATACAGCTATCCATAGATAGACAATGAGCTGGGACCCAGAATCAAATGGGAAAAGATAGGTTAGATTGCATTTGTGAAATTGCATTGGCTTCAGGGACACCATGCTCTCTTCTGGTGCAAAGATCTATCTTTTAAACATAAATATTTTTTGAGTAATGATAGATGGCTATGAACGGAACATCATCTCCAAAGAACTCGATACAGATGAATGAAATGAATGGAAAAGAACTCAAGCAATTCCTGTGTGCAAATTCCTGTGAATACAAATGGAAAAGTAAGATAGTCCTTGCTCTCAAGAAGCTCACATTTTAATAGGAAGAGATGACACACACATATTCTAGGAGGTTCCAGCTGCGAATCAGCACAGGCTCAGTGGTTCTTAGGGTGCAGTAGCAAAGCAGATGGTGGGACATCTTTAATGTCACTCCCATGGTTAAAATAACATTTCTTATGATGAGCCAACTGACAGTGCCATGGACTTTGGTGGTAACAACTTCTTTGCTGGGTCTTCAGTAGCTATTCCACTGCAAGGCAATGGCGATGGCCCCTGCAGTAGTAGTTACTACTTCACATCTCCACAAGAGTTGATTTCCTGGATGATGGCTGGAGGGGCTGGGCTAGATGTAGGGCCTATGATCTTGGAGATGTGTGAGGTGGGGGAGTGGGGAGGTGGTGAGGGCTATTGCTATTCTTGGGGCTCTTGGGCTGCCCCCATAGGAGATGATCTGAGGGGAGATAGTGGCAAAAAATCTGACACCCTTAGCACGCTGTGCCTCTTATCTCTTTTCTTTGTGATATTTTTTAGAACCTCTTGTGTTCCATATATTATTGCTGAACGTATTGAATATATGAGCTTTGCTTTGGGGCCATTACAAGAACTCTGCAATTACTTACAAACAACCCAGTCCACTTCCTTTCCCTCATCCTAATCAGGGCTTAACTCATCCACCTGTATGATCTGTCACAGATATATATAGTGACAGACAAACTTTACAGGGAGTCCGTCCAAATGCATGTTGTAATCTGGACAACGGACATTCTTCACCCACAGGATTTTCCTGTGTGGATGGTCAACCCAAATTCTTCTGAATAATTACAAAATTTTTCCAGGAGTGAATATTCTAGAGATTGATGCAATCAGCACAATGCCATCCACCAGAAGAAACATGTAGAAGTCATCATCCACAGAGAACCCCAGTTCAGCTTGTACTTTGTGCTGGATCTCATCTATCACAGTGGCACATACCTCTGGGGAGCATAAAGTTCCCTACTTTATGCTTCTATTGATGTTATCACCAGGGAATCATTGAACAGACTTATTTCTGTTACATCTTTCGAGGAATCTGGAATGCCTTTAATGTATGGATGGTAGATATTGTGTTGAAAAAGGGTCCATATAATGGTGCTTTTTACAACAAAGTCAAATCAAGAAGAATTTACTGAGTGCCTACTATGTGCCAGGCACTAAAATGCTTTGTGGGGGTGAAGGGGGAAGTGAAGGGAAGAGAAGCAAAGCTGTAATCAATAATACACACAGTGGATCTTATAGTCTCTGCATTTTTGAGTTAATTGTCAAACGGTAAGGTATGGCCCACTACTAAATGTTACTATGAAAGTCCACTTGTTCCCTATTAAAACCTCTATCTAAGAGGCCCTTGAGTCATGTTTAGATGACTACCACAAAGATTTATATAAATGGGGGAGCTCAGTATTTCTGACATTCTGGTCTCCTTGTTGTGGCAATAAATTTACATTAGTTAAATGCCTATGTAAAATCATTATTCTCAGTATTTATTCATTTCTGTTTCTGATGTCATCTCAGCCATTTTTGATCGCCAGGATTCAATTATTTCAATTTAATAGCGTATCTTTTTCTCATTATCATTCCTTCTTCTTGGTTTTTACTCATTCCAGCTTCAGCTGTGCCAAGTCAACAGTTTGACTCTTTAGCCAGGGATAACTTCAACATCAATAACAAGTCATCTGTTCTGCTAAAATATTGATTTTATTTTTTTTGTGATGTTATTTGGTGTTTACCATGTCTAACATCAACCAATTATTTTCTCAAATAAAGTGTTCATGATATAAAGGTATGAGGCTTCAGTTTAATTTATGTCTTTAGCCTCTGTCATTCCTTCTTCCTAAATTATGCTTTCTCACATATTTTTCCCCATCCTCACTCTTCCTGCCTTTGTGCTGAAGTCAGAGAATATGTTGATTTAATAAGGAGGGTCTTACTGAGTTCTTTAAAGAATCTACTTCTTTCTTCATTCATCATTCATTCATTCTATTTCTTCATCCCTTATCTGAGGGATATACACAATTACTTCTATGGTAATCTTTTTTTTTAATAAATACTTATTAATACTGTAATACATGATATTCCACACAAGGTAATGTTTCTTACTGCCTTTGTTTTGTTTTGTTTTGTTTTCTTTTGGCTAGGCAATGGGGTTAAGTGGCTTGCCCAGGGTCACACAGCTAGTATGTGTTATGTGTCTGAGGCCAGATTTGAAATCAGGTCCTCCTGAATCCAGGGCCGGTGCTCTATCCACTGTGCCATCTAGCTGCCCTCTTACTGCCTTTGGATATATGATCAAACCCATTTCTCCAACTCCTTTTTGTAATTTCCAGTTAGGGTGGAATTTCCTTCTTTCTTTTTACAGTGAGAAGGTCTTCCACCAAGTTCCTCTCAGATGTTTTGTCATGGTATGGAGATAACCCCGATTTCTTGAAGGCTATGTGAGCAAAGCATCCAGTTTGGCAGATTCCATCATGCTAAAATATTTCCAGTATGGCCCCACCAATAGATGGAGTCTGTTTTCCAAGGACCAGCCTAGCTAAGTAGAGAATGGTACATCACCAATGGTCTGAACACTTGGTGATAAACTTTTGGTCATGGTAACCCACATAAATGTGAATAATTATTATCACAAAAAGCAAAGTTCTAAATTCAATGAGTCCAATGTGGTAGAATACAACTTGAGGTAAATTTGTTAGGAAAAGAAAGTAATATAAGCAAAGAAAAAACTCCTAGGCAAGTTAGACAGCAGGATAAGTTATAGAGGCAGAAATCAAATTTGTTGATGTAGCACAGCTGAACAAACTATTCATCTCCAACCAGTATATCAGTTACGTGCTTAAAAGTACTCAGCCATGTTGAAAACAAAAAGTGAAATACAATTTTTAGAAAAGAGATGCTCTTCTGTATTAATTCTACAAACTAGTTTCACCTGGCAGAAAACCTTGTGCCACTTGAAGTTGAACCTGATGATGATGTGACATATACACTGCTGATTGATCCCTGAGCCATTTCTGAAAAACAGAAAGAAAATAAGTCACTTAATTAAGACAAAAAACAAACAAGAAATGTGAAAAGGCAAAGGAAATCGAGGTTATTCAAAAAAGAAGAAGAAACGGCTAAGAGGCGGAAGCTTAATGATAGCCTTCATACAATGACGGTGATCAACTGTTCCTAATAGCCAAGAAGAACAGAAGGAAACAGGTTTAAAATAACTACAGCATGAGGAATATAAATAAGCCAGGAAGTCAGAGGGAAAAGAACACTGTTAAGTTATATGATTTTTTGGAAATAGATCTTGCTTTCTCTAGGATGGTTTGGTCAACTTCTGACCAATTACAAGCAATAAACTAATTCTTTAAGGTCAGTCCTTTCTAGCCCATTCATATGCTTCATCTTTTTTTTTTCTGCCAGTTCATGTCTTTTAAAAAATGTTTTACTGGTGGCTTGCCTTCATATCCATCATTTCCCATTCTTCCCTCTCGACTAAAACCTCCCCAAGTGACAAAGAAAAACAATGAAACAAAAACATTCCGTATGGAGACTGTCTGACACTGTATACACTATTACATCCTGACAGGCCCTGACCTCTCCGCCATGAAACAAGAAGTGTATTTCATTATCTCTTCTTCTGATTTGAATTCAGATTCTTTCAAGTAATCTGTTCATTTACATTGTCGTAGTCCCTATATATACTCTCTTGGTTCTGTTATTTTGTACTGTACAGGTTTGTACAAACCTCCCCCCATTTCTTTGAATTTCTCATATTAATTTATGCATAAAGTATTTCATTACATTCATTTACCACAGGATTTTCAGCACTCCCACACCAAAGAGTACTCGCTGTTTACAGGCATTTCCTACCACCAACAGTGCTGTTAAGGGACATTCTGGCACACGTACCAGGTATTTTCCTGAGCGTTGTTTTGTCTTTGATTCCCGTGGGGCATATGCTGAGAAGTGGGACTGCTCAGTGGGGACAGTTTAGATAGACACTCTATTTCCATGATCACAAATTAAGAGAATAGTTGGCTCATTCTGCAAGTCCACAAGCCATAGGTAAGTGTGCCTCACCTCCAAAAGCCCCTCCAATAATGTTCTCATCTTTGCCAATCTGCTTGGTGGAAGCCAAAGGCTCAAAGTTGTTTATTTTGTTATTATTACTAATAATTTGGAACATATTTTCAAATGGTCATTTAGGGTTGGTAATTCTTTTGAAAATTATTCAAATCCTTTGTTCATTAACTGGGGAATGCCACTTTGTGCAATTTCCTGTATATGTGAAGTATCAGACTTGAATCAATACCTGAGGCAAATATTTTGCCCACTTTACTCTTCTAATTCCACAGAAGCAATTCTTTTGTTTGTGCAAAGTCTTTTTAATTGTATACTCATGATTGTCCTCTTCTTCTTTTAAGCCTCTGTCCCCTGTTTGATTCTTTCCCTAGCCAAAGCTGTGAGGGGTACCTTATTTCATTCCCTTCTTACTTTTTAATAATAAGCCCTTTTATATTTCAGGTTATGTAGACAATTTGATCTCATTATAAAATACGATGCAAGATAATGAGATAAATCTAATTTCTGCCAAACTAAAGTCTAGTTTTCACAACAGTTCTTATCAAATTGAGTCCTTCCCCCCAATAATTTATGTTCTCAGGTTTATCAAACACAAGACCTACTGTTTTCATTTGCCCCTTTTTCTTGCTTATCTAATCTGTCCCACTGTTCTATTTTTCTTTTTTCAAACCATTTCCAAGTAGATTTGATTATTACTGATTTATAACATTATTGAAGGTATGGCAACACAATACCCATTTCATTTGCACCTTTTCTCATTTTTCTTAAGATTCTAGAATTTTGGGGGTTTTTGAATGAATTTTATCATTTTTGTTTAGTTCCAAGAAAATATCTCCTTGGTAATCTGACTGGTATAGCAATACATCTCCAAATTCGGGAAATAGCCATTTTTATTATAAGGACATAGTCCCAGCACAAGCAATGAATTTATAGAAGTCTCCTCTTATTTCTGAGGCATGTTTTACATCTCATCAGAACTTAGATTTAGAACAGGAGGGGAACATCAGAAGCTAACTAATCCAATCTATTCATTTTACAAATGAAGAAACTGAGACCTGAAGAGGATTTAAGTAATTTTTCCAAAGTCTCACAAGTAATATTAGAAGCAAAATTGAACCTAAGTTTCCTGACACTAGAATTTCTTTCTGTTATATAACACTGTTTCAGTTATATAACTCTGATGCAAGCCTCGATAGGTTAACTCTTAGACTATTAAAAATATTAATACTATTAAGATTATAATTAATATTATTAATAGTACTTTAAACTATTAAAACTTAAATATTAAACAGGTTAATATTTGGTGCATTTTATATTTTTTTTCCAGTGAAATTTCTCATCATCATGTCTTGTTTTTGTTAGTATTGTACAAAAATGCTGATGATTACCTTGGATTTATTTTATATTTGCTACCCTTCTATATCTATTAATCACTCTTATCAATCTCTCTGCTGATTCTTTAGGATTTTCTAATCATACCACCATGCTGTCTACAAACAGAAATAGTTTTGCCTCTTTTTTGTACATTGGATTTTGTTTTCTTGCTACTACAGCTAGCATTTCTAGAATTATGTTATGTAATACAGCCTATTTGTTTCAGTCGTTTTTAAATAAATGAGTGAAGTATCTGTCAAAAGCTTCTTCTGTATCTACGAAAATAATGATAGCTTTTCTTACATATGGTTTACATATGTTTTCCTAATGTCAAACCATTCTCGCATCCGTGGCATGAATCCATCACAGACATACTGAATTATTTTCTAAGGATTTCATTTAAAATTTCACATTGATGTTCTTTACCAAGGCTAATGTACCATTTCTGTCTCTATCCAACAACGTTAACAAAAACAACAGCAACAGCAACAGCAACTGGTTAAAAGTGAATACTATAAAATTATAGCGACCAAGTTTGGTACCTAAGAAGTTATAGGAAATGGAATCTCTGCTTGCTACTTTGCAGAAGCTGGGAGGAGGTGGAAGGCTTCAAGGGTGTGGAGCACTGATCGTAACAGACTTTTTCATTATGTTGGTTCACTTTTTGCCGAACTTTTTTCTTAATAAGAGATGGCTCTCTGCTGAGAGTGGAGTTTAGGGACACCATGGATAATGTAGGTGACATTAGTAAATTTAATTTGTTAAAGGTTTGGTAAAATTTCTGTTTCTATTTTGGAGAATGTTTTTGGTGGAACAGGATTAATGACTCTTTAAATGTCTGAAAATATTCAATCATAAATACATTTGTCTCAAGATTTTTCCCCGTTTTGGCAAATCATTTAAGGACTGGTAACATCTTTCTCTAAAGCAGGGTCATGTAAGATCTCTACTTTATTACTCCATTATACCCTAGTATATGATCAACTTTTATAAAGTTGCCTTGTATACACTGAAAAATACGCATATTTAACATATCCATTCACAAGTCATCACAGGTCAGGTAGATTTAGTTTAACAATTTATTCACTTCTACATTTTCCTTATCTTCCTGTTCAATTTATCTTACTGTTAGAGGAATACTAAATGATTACTGTTACTTTCATTGTCTTTTTATGATTTACTTATCTTTTTTTAGGAATTGCTATGCTGTGCTATTTGACGCATATCTGTTCATTTCTCAACATCTATGGTGCCTTTAAACATAACAGTCTCTCTGTCTACCTGGACTTGATCAGTGTTTACTGTTGTCTCATCTGAGAGCAGAATTGGGGCTTCCTTTTCTAAGAGTTTCCTGAGGTGGAACAGGTTTCGTTCTATCCCTGTACTTGTTTTTCTCAGTGTAACTGTATTTTAATTATCTTTCTCGCAGGCAACAAATTATTTGGATTTTGTTTTCTTATCCATTTCTTTGTTACTGAAGAAGTTAACTTTTCACATTTAGAGTCATCTATGTAGTCTTCATGGCTATTAAGTTTGCATTATCTTCCCTTAACTACTTGACATGAGCATGCAAACAGATATGCATACACTCTCTGGGATGTGAATCAGTCCTCATTATCTCTCTTTTAACCTATGCAGCTCAGTTCTGCTTTCTCTCAGTTCTATCCTCGCAGGACATCCAATGGCCTTCTCTTTGACAGTGGGAGTAAGAACTGAAATGCATCACTCAGTCTTAATAGCAGCTATCTTCTCGAGTATCCAAGCTCCCTGCACAAAGTCCACTGCAGGTCTCTTATCTGCTTCCTTCCTCCTTCCTTAGGGTTGCTCCATGATGAGCCAAATCATTTCCTTTCTGCTGGCTATACCTAAATCCTACTTTTCCCTCTGTATTTTGTGCCTCAATGATATTCCCCAACGGCAGAGGGAGGAACTGAAAAATTCTAACCTTCCTCTCCCCTCTAGTGCTGACCAGTCATCATCTAGGTCCTTTGTTTCACTCACTCCTTTCTCTATTTAGAAGAAATGTCTTTGTATTATTTTACCACCTATAATACTGGGTTATCCAAGGCATAGGATTTTTTTCCTCACAAAAAAATAATTCACTTCCCCTACCTCTTCTCCTGATTTTTCCTATTATGCCTTTTACTACTTAGATTATCTATTAATACTCTTTTTGCTTTCTCCCACTCAGCATGTCAAGTTTTGGTGTTTTTTTTTTTTAAATCAAACAGAACCTATTTTCAAGTTCAGCATTCTTGTTTTACAGAGCTCTCATGTTTCCAGTATGGTTTTCTTTTTAAAATTCTCCTCTATCATTTTTTTCCTTCCAGAGCTTCATTTTTGTGTTCCAGTTGTTACTTTATTTTTCCAACCTTAATTCTTTTCTACATACACTTTCTTTTCAGATTGCTCTTTTGAACCATTCTAGACATCCTTGGAGTTGCTTCCTTGTTATTTAAGAAAAGCCTTGCAGAATTTGTTGAGCTTTTTCCACCTTCCTCAAATGACTGTGATTCAATTTCTTATCACAAAATACTCATCCACTGAGAGGGCTCTTTTCTTCAAACATTTAAGCATTTCTCCCCCTCAGTTACCTCTTGAGCCATGATTACAATGATTCTGCTGACTTTTTCATGGCATTCTTGCTGAAAATGTGTTGGTTATCAATCATCTCCCCTCACAGGTCTAACATTCCTGTGCCCTCATGCTTTCAAACCAGCTCCTTCCACAGGCTGGATGAGGTCTGTTCCTATTTGAGGGTGAGAGCGGTCAGCTAGGACACGATGCAGCTAGGACTCGGAATGTCCACTACTTGTTCTCTACCTTTCTCAGTCCCACTCTTCTGTTTTCCATCATCCTTTCTGAAAATGAAATCCCTCTCACCACAAGAGCTGGTTGTGAAAGTGTCAAGGGAGATGTGGAGTGGAGAAAAGGTCCCACAGGATGCCTCTCAAAGGGGTACTTCTGGGAAACCTCTGAAGTGTGTGCTCTCTTCTACCCCCTTGTGATTCTTCCTACTGACCGCTTTTTTTCCCCTACTCCTGTGCTATATTAATCAATCTTCTTCACCATGGAGTTTCTGGTTCCTCCATTTTCTGCCAGACTCCACAATCCTCCATGACCATTTCCTTTCCAGCTTCTCCAGACTCAGGGCTATTCAGATTCAAAGGCTTCAAGCCCCCCAGGACTGGAATTTCCAGTGGGATATCAACACAGGATTAGTTAGGGAGGGACAAGAAAGCGAAAGGTAGGAAAAGGGTCCGGGACATGGGGCTGGCTAATTGGTCTTCAGGAGCAATTTATTTTGTAAAAAATTATTTGTGCCAGGTTCTTTTACTTATCTTCTTGATGTCACTGCTGAGTTTTCTAAACTTGGGGCTTTTAAATGGCATTATCTGATATGGTAGGGAGAGAGACATGCTTCACAATTCTACCAGGATTCTCCAATCCATATTGTAATATAACACATTCAAGCCACACTTTCAAGGACAACATGTCAAACTTCTCAGAAAGGGATTTTAATCATAAACCCCTCTTTCTTCAAGCTATCATATGCTAACATATTCAACCGAACAGTCAGCAGAGAAACATGTTGCTTTTTACCAGGTACATGGGATTGAAATGACGCTAAAATAAGAGAATTGCATTTGAGCACCCTATGACTTACAAATCTCAACAGCCCCTAGTTTCTGATTTTATGCCCAGTCTTTTCATTTCTTATTATCTCTGGGGGTTTTATATCTGGAATACTTCAGAAAGGAAAGGTGTAACATACTTTCACCAGAAGAGGGATCATCAACTTTAAGATCTATTGAAAGTATGTCTTTGCACACTGTCGAATGTGAACAGCATCATGGCAATCAGATACTGTCTCACTGACCTGTCACATATGGTTCCAGAGCTTTAGGTACCAAACTTCTTGCCATTTTTAGGTCTTCTGCAGAACAGCTTCCAGATTCTAGCCCACAAGCCATCCCCATTCGCTTTAATACTTCTATGTCATCGTGGATTTCAAATGTGTTGTCGAAATTAAATAGGTACTCAAATCTGAAAGGGAAGATTTCATTATTAAAACATCAGGAAGATGATGAAGATATCCTGTTGATGAACACACACCACACATGCCTGAGAGGACAATTGCTCTTGAAAGTGAAGCAAAGCCAGCAACGAGAGAAGTAGGCTGGTACCCACGAGGCAGAGAACCTGCTGCCTAGGAGCTAGAAGTATAAACATGCAGCCCTAAAACTTACATCCTCAACTTCTCCCATTCTCCAGTAAAAGTTCTCTCTGAAAACTGATAGGCTAATAATCATCCCCGCTTTCTTAGGTTTGATGAAATACTCCCTCTTCCCCCCAAAACCAGAATTATGTCTTTAACACTTAAAAATATTGGGGCAGGGATCCCAGGTCTCCCTGAGGAAAACTCCCTATACCAATGAAGACAGGCAAGTGTTCTCCCTGTAATAGTTTTACAGAGTTGGTTAAGTGACTTGTGCAGGGTAACTAAGCCAGTATATATGAGACGTTGGACTTGAACACAGCTCCTCCAACTTGGAAGCCTGCCCACTCTTCACCACACTATGCTTCCTCTCATACTTTTAAATAGACAGAATTTTTCATATTATTTTTTCTTTGAAATAAGTAACCTGCAGGCAAAGAGAAAAGCAAATTTTATGCTTTAATAATAAAAATTGTGCGATGTCATTAGACTGTATTTACTAACAAAAATTAGTAGAAGAAGAGTGATACAGCCAGTTTGGGAGCCAGGAAGACCTGAGATCAACGCCTGCTGCTGCTGCTGACACACCTGGGCTCCATGACCTGGACAAGCAAGCCACAGACTATCTGAACTGCCAATGAGTTCCTCACATCGGAGATATCACAGGGCTGGTCCCTCATCCCGTCCCTAATTAAAATTAACTGAAGGAGGTGATGTATGGATATTTTGTCTTTAACAAAACCAGCTGTGGGATTTCTTCATTTTTGATTTGAAACTCACAGCTGAAGCAAAAGGGCGGATGGAAAACTTCTCTTTTCCATAAACAACCTACTTGTCATTAGAAATACTGCAGTCGATCACTGTCTTCTTGCTGGTGTTCACAATGATAAAGGGTAGGTGTATGACAGAGTTGGAAGGTGGTGGTCGGCTGGCTTGCTGTTCTGCTTGACGATTTCTCTGCACCAAATTCTTGAAGGCAATTTGCTGAAATAAGATACACCAACTTATAGACTCACCATGTTAGTCACTCACTTTTGATACTAAATATATCTTGACCTCACCCAGAAATATAATACCTTCCTTCAGAAGAACTCTTCATACTTACATCACTGTGAGGCAAAAAATCCTAGGTCAGAGCTGGCAGGTATTTTAAAGCCCATACAAGTCAACCTTCTTATTTCATATATGCAGAAGGTGAAGGCCAGAGAAGTGAGTCAATTCACCCAAGGTCACACAACTGACGAGCCTCAGAGCTGGGACTAGAACCTAAATCTCTTGTATTGTAGTCAGGAAGGGGGGCTTGACTCAGCCTCTTTTAGAGAAGACATCAGAAATCTCCTGATTACAATGATTAATTCATGTCACCTCTTTAGCATTCAGAAAACTTTACAGTCTTCATAAAGAAAATCCATTTTGAAAATCCAGTACTCTAAGGAGTGATGTGAATTTAGGGAGTGCCCTAATATGCAGATGACTTATCATATCATTTAAATTTTAAAATTTTTTTTAATCTGTTTTTAAATGTCACGGCCCATTTCACTACTCTACCCCTCACCCACCCCAACTACACCAACATGTGACTGGGGAAAAAAACTTTCACTGTAAACATCAGCTAATTACAAGGTCCCAAAATTCTAAAGTTTGAAAGAGGCCAGCCCAGAAACAACACTAAGCAAGCTCACATCTAAAACATCCCAGATAAACTGAATCTACCATCTTCAAGGGGCTATAATCTTAGTTTCTAATTAATGCAAGTGATCCCTCCAATGACACATGCCACAGCCCATCTGTGCCTACCCATGTGACTCTCATTCCTTTTCCCTCCTAAGTTCACCACAGGGTGTCCACTCATTGTACAGGGGGTGGTTCTAGCTTTTTCCCCATATGACAAGGATAAAGCACCAGAAGGAGCACAGGAGCTGGTCGGGCTGTCCAACTGTCACCCCTCAGTCTTGATGCATGAAAAGTCCTTCTTTTTCGTCCGTACATTTCTTTGATGATATTCTTTATTACAGTTCTTCTTGATGACTCTGTATTTGTCATGTTTGGCAGCTGGCCCACAACCACCAGGAGCCTCTCTCTCACACTTGGAGGGATACACAATTTTAATTCTTTGGAGATTATAATGTTCACGATTGCAGGCACACAACGTTGACAGCAGAATACTGGTACTGAACATATGGGCCTTCCTTTCAGAGAGAAGTCAGATCACTAAAGAAGCGCTCCAACTTTCTACTTTCCTGTCTGACTCTCCCCTTCTTGGGCCTGACTCACAAACAGTCCATTTGCAGTATCTGCCCACGATGCCCATAACAATACATAAAGTCTACTGGTCGACTATCAAACAGCATGTCCTCGTCTGGAAAACATGCGTTCTTGCAACACTTCCATTTTCCTACTTGAATGATTAGGCCATACTTTTGTGGGTGGGTATGAACTTCATATTAGGAGGCTCTAAAATTTAAGGTGGGGTGGCCTTGATGTAATTAACATGTCACCCACAAACGGCCTCATAATCTACCCTTCAATTAGGACGCTACGCTGACTACGAAAGACACTTTCAGTGGGAACAGATCTCAGTTTTAATACCTTACCTAATAGGAATGAATGAACCAGATGCCTAAGTGATCATTAATTTAAAAAGTCAGGGTAGTATTGGCTAAATCATATATTAAGAAAAAAATAAAGTCCAATCAGGAAATCAAACCTAAGAGGTTACACGCAAAGAGAAAGTACTACCACAGTAGAAAACCATCCTACAGCAGACCACAGTGCTGCACACTAATGTTTCAAACAGAACATAATTTATTGCTTCTATCAGCTTTTCCCTGAAAATATAAGAGAAAATATTAAAATGCACAGGAGGTCACTCTCTAGACTCCATTCTTCTCTCTCAAACTACCATTACCATTTCCTCTTCTTCCTCCCCCTTCTTTACTTAGTACTTCCTGAAATCTTGGACCTTAACTACCTTCTTGTTTCTCTCATAGCCCATTCTTTCTTTGTCTTCTCTTTTCAAAATCAAACAGTCCCAGAGTTAGAAAGCACCCTCCATGTCTATCTACACCAGCTAATGCCCGAATAGGCATTCTTTCTTTAGCACATCCTCATCCTTACAAGGGTTCATGAAGATTTTGTTGAAAGACTTCTAAGATCAGGGAGCTCACCACCTCCCAGCTCTAACCCTAACAGCTGCACATATCCATGTAATGTTTTAAGTTTTGCAGAGCACTTTAGAGATTTGATCTCATGTGAGCCTTGCAACAAGCCTGAAAGATAAATGCAAATATCAACCCCATATTTATTGAAGAAAAAGTGTACAATGTGGGATTTAAACCCTAATATTCTTGTCTCCCAGTCCAGCACTCTGTTCACTGCCACACTGCCTGCATTTATTAAGAAACCAACCCTATAAACTGAGCTAAAATCTGCTTGCCTGCACACTTCACCCTCTGCTCCTCTGGCCAGCCAAACTAGTCTGCTCCCTGATCTAGGACCAGTAAATACTGGAAAATAGCGATCAGTCACATCTCTCTGCATCATCTCATTTCCTGGCTTTAAAAAAAAAAAATCTACAAAAGTTCCTTCCAATGCTCAGATGCTGTGTTTCTTCCCTTGACAAACCTTCAAAAACCTAAAGACACATGTTAATAATAATAACCCCACCAATCCCAAGTCTTCTCTTCTCACAAACATTCCCAGTTCTTTTCACATATCTTTACAGAGTATGGCTTTAAGTCTTTTTATCATCTTGTTAACCTTCTTTTGGAAGCATAATAATTTGTCAAAAACCCTTCCTAAAATGTGACTCTCAGAAATGAACATGATATTCCTAATAATAACTATCTATCAAGGGTGGAAGACAGGGAGAATACCATCTCCCCTCACTGATAAGACTTAACTTTTATTAGTGCAAACATGTCACACTGTTGACAATAATGGAGACTGTAGCCTCTATATTACTTCCCTGATGGCAGATACTCTCAAATCTCTCTCTGTAACCCAGTCTTCTTTTTTCAAGGTTCTGACTCCATATTTCCAAAGACCTAAGAGGTACCTCCTCCAGGGTATACTAACATCATCCCAAAACCCAGCACGTCCACAACAGATCTTGCTCCTCAAAACTAGTTCATTTCGGGGCAGCTAGGTGACGCAATGGATAGAGCACTGGCCCTGGAGTCAGGAGGACCTGAGTTCAAATACGGCCTCAGACACATAATACTCAGTAACTGTGTGACTCTGGGCAAGTCACTTAACCCCAATTGCCCTCACCAAAAACAAAACAAAACAAACAAAAAAAACCTAGCTCATTTCATGCCTTTCCTATTCTTTATAATGTCACCTTCAACTCCTCCTTGGTTCTTACATTCAACCAGTTGTCATGGCTTGTAGCTTCTACCCCTGCAAATGTCTAGGCAATCCAATCCCATGTTACCATCTAAGTTTAGGCATTTATTACCTTCTCTCTAAATAAGCCCAACAGCTTATTTCTGGTTTCTGTGATTCTAATCTTTCCCCAATCCATTTTAATTAACAGGTTAATTTTCCAAATCATGGTACACTACAAAGAGCACAGTACTCTGTCAGAAGATACCTGCATTCCAAACTCCCACCTCCAATACTTACTAGCCATGTTATTATGGGCAAGAAATTCAACCTTACTGAGCTGATTTCCACATCTGTAAAACACTGCAGTAGATAACTTACAAAGTGGTCTTGAAGATCAAATGAAATAATATATGTCATTATATTGTAAATATTGACATTTTATATAAAGATGAAGTGCTACGACCATTAACAAGTGATAAAACACAGTTCTGGCCATACAAATCCTTTAATTTCACATACTGCCCAAATGCCTTACACAATGACTTCATTATAATTCAGTCAAACTATTCACAGTTCCCCAAACACATTTAGCACTTCCCCACCTGTAGAACTGTGTTCAGAAGGTTCTTCACCCAAATGCACCTATTATCCTTTATATCTATAAAATCTTAGGATCTTTTAAGGCTTAGATCAAAAGTAATCTCTCTTCCACAAAGCTTTCCTCAATTCTCCACTCACCACCACAGCACAGTCGTACCTCTTTCTCTCCTTTTTTTTTCTTCACTAACCAGCAATTTATTTTTTTTCCCTTGACATCAGGGATTGCACATTTTATTTTATTTTTACATTTCAATTTATTTATTTTTAGTTTTCAACATCCACTTCCACAATATTTTCAGTTCCAGATTTTCTCCCCATCTCTCCTCTCCCTCCCCTTCACGACAACATGCATTCTGATTACCCCCTTCCCCTTCTATTTTCCTGTAGGGTAAGATAGCTTTCTATACCCCACTGCCTGTGTATTTTATTTCCCAGTTGCTTTAAAAACAATATTTAACATTGATTTTTAAAACTCTGATCTCCAAATTCTCTCCCTTCCTCCCTCCCCATCCACCCTCATTGAGAAGGCAAGCATTTCTATATAGGTTATACATATGTAGTCATGTAAAACATTTCCATAATGGTCATGTTGTAAAAGACTAACTATATTTCCCTCCATCCTATCCCACTGCCCCCCTCCTGTTTATTCTATTCTCTCCTTTGACCCTGTCCCTCCTCAAAAGTGTTTGCTTCTGATTACTCCCTGCCTGATTCCCTTTCTCCTCCTAGTACATTCCTCTCTCATCCCTTAATTTCATTTCTGAGATATCATCCCTTTATATTCAGCTCACCCTGTGCCTTCTGTCTCTCTCTCTCTCTCTCTCTCTCTCTCTCTCTATATATATATATATATATATATATATATATTTTATTCCCTCCAATTACTCATGAGAAAGGTCTCATAAGTTATATATCATCTTTCCATGTAGGAATGTAAACAGTTCAACTTCAGTAAGTCCCTTATCATTTCTCTTTCCTGTTTCCTTTTCATGCTTCTCTTGAGTCTTGTATTTGAAAGTCAATATTTCCATTTAGCTCTAGCTTCTCAAGAATGGATTAAATTCCTCTGTCATTGAATGTCAATTTTCCCCTCATGATTACGTTCACTTTTTCTGAGTAGGTAATTCTTGCTTTTAATCCTAGCTCCTTTGACCTTCAGAATATCATATTCCAAGCCCTCCAATCCCTTAATGTAAAAGCTGCTAAATCCTGTGTTATCCCAATTGTTTCCACAACACTTGAATTATTTCTTTTGGGCTGCTGACATTCTTTTCTCCTTGACCTAGAAACTTTGGAATTTGGCTATAATATTCCGGGCAGTTTTCCTTTTGGGATCTCTTTCAGGAGGTGATCGGTGGATTCTTTGAATTTCTATTTTACCCTCTGGTTCTAGAATATCAGTGCAATTTTCCTTGACAATTTCTTGAAAGATGCTATCTGGGCTCTTTTTTTGATCATGGCTTTCAGGTAGTCTAATAATTTTTAAATTATCTCTCTTGGATCTATTTTCCAGGTCAGTTATTTTTTCCAATGAGATATTTCACATTGTCTTCTATTTTTTCATCCTTTTGGTCTTGTTTTACAATTTCCTGATTTCTCATAGAGTCATTAGCTTCCATTTGCTCCATTCTAATTTTTAAGGAATTATTTTCTTCAGTGAGCTTTTGGACCTCCTTTTCCATTTGGCCAATTTTGCTTTTTAAGGCGTTCTTCTCCTCATTGGCTTTTTGGATCTCTTTTGCCATTTGAGTTAGTCTATTTTTTAAGGTGCTATTTTCTTCAGTATTTTTCTGATTCTCCTTTAGCAAGCTGTTGACTTGTTTTCATGATTTTCTTGTATCATTCTCATATCTCTTCCCAATTTTTCCTCTACCTCCCTTACTTGATTTTCAAAATCCTTTTTGAGCTCTTCCATGACCTGAGACCAATTTATATTTTTCTTGGAGGTTTTGGATGTAGGAGCTTTGACTTTGTTGCCTTCTTCTGGTTGTATGTGTTGATATTTGTTGTCATCAAAGTAAGATTCTATAGTCTGAGGTTTTCTCCACTGTTTTCTCATGTTCCCAGACAATTACTGAAGTTTTAAATTCTTTGTTAAGATAGGGCTCTGCTTCCAGTGTGGAGGATGTGCTGTACCAAGCTTCAAGGTTTTTGTGCAGCTATTTTCAGAGATACTTGTAGGAACCTGTAAGTTTTCAGTTCTTCTAAGGTGGTATGATCTAAGGAGAGGTGTTTACTCCCCTCCTGGCCTGTGCTCTGGTCAGTGAGTGACTGCAAGCACTCTTCTCTGCCCCAGAACTGTGAGGAGGGTTTCCTCTGCACTGCTGCCATAAGCTCTGCCATGCCAGTGCTCTTCCTCATCCCAAGACTGCCACACAGAACTGTGCCCCAGATCCCCAGTACGGGCAAAGCAAGAGAATCCTCCCTCAGTGCTAGCAAAGAGATCCCTATAATCTCCTTCTGATCAGCTGTTCGATCCCCTTACCGTCTGTGGGCTGGGAGCTCTAGAAGCAGCCGCTGCTCCCCGGGGCCAGGGTTGGCCAATATTCTTCTTTCACTGAGGTCTGACCTTCTAAGTTGTCTTTGGTGTTTGTGGGTTGAGAGGTCTGGAAGCCGCCACGGCTGCCCGTGAGTCAGTCCCCTGAGGCCTGGTCTGTGCTGGCACAGCCCACACTAGACGGCATGCCTCTCCCAGCCCAGCACAGGAGACCTTGCCTGTCGATCCTCCAGGTGGTCTTGGGCTGGAAATATGTTTCACTCTGTCTCTTTGTGGGGTCTGCTGCTCTAGAACTTGTTTCGAGCCATTTTTTATGGGTATTTGGAGGGGTTCGGGGGAGAGCGCAAGCAAGCCTTTGCTTTCACTCCACCATCCTGGTTCTGCCCAGTCGCACTTCTCTTTATGGCACCTGTCATATCTGGATTCAGATTACAGTTACTTCCATTCTTATTTAATCTTCCCAATTACATAATAAACTTTTACATGTCAGGAAATGTGTTTGATTCATTTTAATTTCCTTATATCATACACAGTAGGTGCCTCAATATTCAAAATTCCAAATGCAGACGAATTGAAGGGTCTCCTCTCATAAACAATACATTAAGCACTGAAACAATCAGTGTTTGACATATCAATTAACATTATGAATAAAAGTATCTCGCAGTTATACAGTGCTTTACAGTTCATTAAGGGATTTTTTCTACAACAAGCCTGTGAGATAAGTCGAGTCAAGTGAACAAGTATTTATTATGCACTTGTAATGTGCCATGTATTATTTTAAGTGCGGGGGGGGGAAGCAAAAAGACAGCCCCTCCCCTCAAACAGCTTACATTTTATTGGGGGAAATGACATGAAATCAACAAGGAAGATACAAGAGGTACTCAACGGGGAAGGAATTAGAAGCCAAAAGGCCTCCTGTCACAGGTAGGACTTGAGCCTCGTCTTGAGAGAAGCCAGGGAAATAAAGTGGTGGAAGTGAGAGAGCAGAGTAAACCAAAGCATGGGGGAACAGTTAGTGCAAAGACCAGAGACAGGAAACAGCGTCAGCTTCGAGATACTTCGGGCAGACCAGTGTCGCTGGAGAGCTGGATGTGCGGAGGACAGGAACGTGTTCAAGAGAGAAAAAATAGGAAGAGGCCAGATTCTGAAGAGCTTTAAATGCCACATGAAGGAGTTTATATATGATCCTAGAGGTAACGGGGAACCACTGGAGCTCAATGAGCAGTGGGTGATAAAGCCAGATCTATACTTTAGAAAAATAAGCTTGGCACCAAATGGAGAATGGATTATGGTGGAGAGAGACCTAAGGACAAGAAGACCAACTAGATGTCCCAATGAGAAGAGATGAGGACCTGAACTAGGGTGGCAGTCGTGTGTGTGTGTGGTGTGTGTGTGTGTGTGTGTGTAAAGAAGGGGAAGCCTGCGAGAGACAGTCTAAGAAGGGAAAAAGTCTGGCAATATAATGGCTATATTAAGTGAGGAGCAGAGGATGACACCATGGTTTCCAGCCTGTGTGACTAGCAGGGTGGCTGTACTCTTGATAGTAGGGAAGTTGGGAAGAGGAGAGGGTGAGGACAGAAAGATAATGGATTCTGCTTTGGATATGGGGAGCCCAAGCTGCCTTTAAGACACCCAATGCCACATGTCCAAAAGGCATTTTGTGATGGGGAACTGGAAGTCAGGAGACTAAAGCTAGTTAATACAGGTTTGGGAATCATCTGCACAGAGATAATAAAGGAACCTATAGGAGCAGATGAGATTATCAACTGAGCTAGATTATCAATTGAGGGCTCAGAGACAGAGTTTTGAGGTCACCCATGGTGAGCGGGTGTGACACAGATGGAGAACCAGCAAAGCAGACTGAAAAAGAACCACCAGACAGACAGGAGGAGAACCAGGAAAGATGTCATGAAAACCAAGGGAGGGGAGAGCATCCAGAGGAAGTGACTGATAATGTCAAATGCTTTGGAGAGGTCAAGAAGAATAAGGATTGAGAAAAGGCCAGGAGATTTGGAAATTAAGAGATCACTGGCAACTTTGGGGAGTGAAGTTTCAGTCAGATGATGGTATTGGAAAGAAAAATGTAAAGGATTTATAACTGAATTCGAGTTGAGGGAAATGGAAGGATCTACAAAGACATTTCCACATCTTTCTCAAGAAGTTTAGCCACGAAGGGTAGGATAGCTCTAGGGTGATAACTAGCAGAAACAGTAAGATCAAGTGAGAGTATCATTTTTTAAGGATGGAACAGACATAGCAGCAAGGAAGGAGCTTGAAGGTAAGAGAGTGGGGATGACAGGGGCAGCAATCTACTTGAGATAGCATTTTTATCCTTTTTTTATAAAACTGAAAAAGGAGGCTCTGGAGTTAAGTGGTCTGCCCAGGGTCACACAGCAAGTAACTGGAAATGAGTACAAACCAAGTCTGCCTCTCTTAGTATTACATCACACTGCCTCTCTGACTATACAAAATTTAATTATTTAGACGTTATTACTTAAAGCTACAGTGTATTTTGTTATTCTGAAAGATATTAAACGAATAAAGAAAACAGCAATTGTCCACACACAGAGAAGAATTTCATTACCTGTAGAATAAGTTCTTGAAGTTGAGACTGCTTTTGTTTTATTCTTTCAAGTCTTCTCTGCCTCTCTACCTTTAGAAATAAGACACACACAAAAATCATCTCAAAGAATCAATCCAAGAAGTTATAGATGGAAGCAATCTCGGGATTCCAAAGCAATTTAATAGAATAATTATTTTACTAAACCAACACCAATTCTACTGTTGAAAAAATAAAATTCTTGACTGCAGGGACTTTCTGACATATGTTTCTATGATCTTTCATTCAGCCTCTAAATATACCTGTCAAATTTTTTTGGAGTTGAATTTCAATTTCCCTTTAATACTGTCCATATTCACATAAGTTATGACTATAATTGTTTTAATGATGTTTACAAATATTTAATCTTAATTTTTAATTTGTTTTAAGATGTCATATATTATATGAGCATCGATTTAGAACTGGAGGAACCTTAGATCCCACCTAGTTCAGCTCTTTCATTTTAGAGATAAGCAAACTTAGGCCCAGAGAATTTAATTTCCCAGAGTCACAAAGCTCCTAAGTGTCAGACTTTAGTCTATGGGTCTTTCTATATTCGTTAAATAAAAAGAACTCTCAAATTAAGACATGCTATTTCTATAGACATATACAATGGAGAAGGAAAATAGGAAAAGATTCACTTTTTTGTTACGCTGAGGTAATAAATTTCTGGTAAAGTTAACAATTATTTCTAAAATGGCAGACAAACTATCCTCATTAAAATTCAGATAAACTCGATGTCATTAGGTCTACCCTGCCCACAGCCACAGTATTACTACTTTAGATTTGGATCCATACAGTTGAGCTTGCTCTCTAATCCAGAGTCTCACAGCTATGTAAACAATGAGGGGGAACTCTCTTCAAAAGGGTTGAAGATGAAAAAGTATGTCTCTCTGTCCTTTACCACCATCATTCAATGCCGTAATGCAGCAGCAGTTATCCTAATATTGTACCTGATTCTATAACCCTTAACAAATGTAGGCCCATTTAGGAAAACAGCCAACACTGCAAACTCTCCAATTATTTTCCCAAGAACAAAGCTGAAGCCTTGGCATACTCACTGTAAAGGATAACCAATATCTACTGGCAGCTAGAGAGGACACAGGTTCGAGCTAAGTGCAATAATTACTCATAGAAACCGAAAATGGTCTGGGGGTGGGGCAAGGAGGTTGATTTTCTCTCCTCCAGAATTGTAGAGAACAGAGGAGAGTGAAGAACCAGGCAGGCAGTTTCAAAGGCTGAGTCATGTAGACTCTAACTAGCGACATGAGGATTACATTAGAGCACAAACACCATTACGCTCCTTCAAAAATGGTTTTTGCTCCAAAAATTCAGAAACGATTTGCATTTTCAATTAAACACCACAATTACGGATGGCTCAATTACTGAGCTCTTTAATTACATAATCTACACATATGTGTTATCATTAGGCATGGAAGGATAGACAGCTCAACTGATAAGTGGAAGGGGAAGGTAGGTAAAAAAGGAAAAACAAGGATATCCCTCCATCACCCTAGTCACAGAAAAAAAATTCTACAAAACAGCATCCCGGTGGGGATACTGTCTGTGTAATGTGTTTCACACAGCAGGCAAAGCCAACTGATATGAAGTGACTAATAAGTGTTTAGATAACAACAGTGAAAATATAAAAATACCTATCAGATTTTTATCCTTTCAAATATTATGTATAAGTAAGCTTGAAGCCAATTAAAATTAATAAGTAAGGGGAAAAGCAGTTTTTCCTCATTCATACCTCTAAATTCTGACATTCTTGAGCTGAGTTCGTTGGTAGACCAATCCATTTTATTTCCTTCTTCTCCTTTGAGATAATATTCATGGCCATTAAGACATTTAAGGCATCATAGACTCTTCGTCTTATATTCTTCTGGTCATAAGCCTGCTAAAGACATTATGCATTAGAGGAAGAAAACAGAAAGCTTCATATAACTGGTGTTTAAAGACAAAGAATAGAAGATAATCAAATTCAAAAGGAGGCGAGACAGACTTTGTTTCATACAATGGACTACTAAAAATAGCTCATTATACCCCTCCCCCTGCCCATAGGCAAGAAAAAAACAAATTCCCAAAAGAGTAAGCCTGATAGAGTGTCAATACATTAACTTAATGTTATTGATCTCTCCCAAAGCCTTGATTATAATTAGCCTGACAACCCTTGAAAGAAAACGCTCTTCAAAAGTACCAAAGGGAAACTTTCAGGACCCTTAGAAAATACAAATCCATCCACATCATACTTACTGATTCATTTGGTAAAATGTGGTTATCAGCAGCACTGAACTCTGCGACCAACTCATCTGCCACTTCATTATATGAAGTGGTTCCTTTTCTCTGTACCTTCTCACAAACCTTCATTGAAAAATGTCTTAATCCCTTGCCATTCTTTTCTCCTTTTCTATTGCGCTTCCTTAAAAATACAAAGTAAAATATTATTACCTAAAACAACCTTCAACTAAAATCTATCCTCATCTAAAAAATGAAATCACTACATTTATAAGACACAGGTGCAACCAAAGCAAGAGAATCACATCAGACGGCTGCAACTTGAATCATACTTCATTATCTCAAGGCAGAAAACTATTCCATCTACCAGGGGAATTTGAGGATTTTTTTTTTACAAGGCAGAAAATTCCAAGAAGCCAAATCTCACATTCATACCTTCATATTGTTAAAATACTGTGAGAAATCTTGAACGGTAAAAGCTGTATACCACAAGTAAGCTTTTTGAAGGCATTATTCAATATGAAAATTCTATTTTTTGAACAAAACCTCTAAAAAGAACACATAAACTTACATAATGAGCGTTAACAACCATAAATGTCATCAACAGAGTGGTGCCTATCTACAAGATGCATGATTAGGATCTACCTTGTAAAAATAAATAAGATTCACAACCACTAAAGAAAATTTCTAGTGTTTTATGTCAAATTAGGAAAAGAGGTTTTGGATTTTTTTTAAGTAGGCATAGTAATAAAATATAATCATTTGGGTTTCTACCTCCAAATAAGCCTGAAACACAGGGATGCACATGTTTTTGTAGGAAAGACATATGAGACTATGATCATAAGACAATTCTACTTGAAAACCTATTTAAGTGACCTTTTGCTTAAGGTGGAAAAACTATTTCAGGAAAAGTATAGCTAAAGTTAAAAATAGAAGTGTGTTATATAACGTAGTATATCATTCTCCCCTTCTAAAAGGTTTCATTGAATTAATACTGAACTTCCTACAGTGCCATTGTCTAGTACAGACAATGAAGAGTTTCAAAGTTGCCACATTTTCACTGAAGACATCTCAACTCCTCATTTTCAGCCAACAATGGTAAACCTTTAAAGTGTAACTTCAGCATTAATGTAGATGGAGCCACTGGACTACTTTCCCAATAATCTGATTTCTCAGATGCTAAAGTAAAAGCATGTTCTTGATTATACATCTATTCTAGGGATGGTTTGAAATTTTTTCAGATGGCCTAATTTATTCAATGTCTTAAAGTAATAAGATCTCTGAAAAATAAATTTAATCCGAAGCCCTAATATATTTGGTTTTGTTGCAAGACTACATAGCTCATTTAACCAAGACAGAGAAATTTATGATTAAAATCCTAAGAAATTCTTTAAACTTCGGATAATTTGAGAGGAATACTGCTCACCCCGCCGACCACGGTGAGGAGTCTGAAGCCTGGTTCTGTGATACAAAATGGGTGTTAGGCGTATGTGGGCTTCCTACAAGGATAGTATTTGGCGCAGCAGATCTCTGAGGTGTACCAATTACCTACAGTTAAAAGAGACAATTCAAGACAGAATTAAAAATCTCCCATGTTATGAAGATGTCATTTTTGAAAACTTACTAATCATCTAGAGCTACTTAACTTAATCAACTAAGGAGCGGCCTAGAACAATTGAGCACTCACAGCTGACTCTTGAGGAATAATACAAACCCATGTCTTCTAAAAACAACTTTCTATTTTTCCTTCTTTTGCCTTAACTCCTTTACTACTTTAAACAAAAAACATCAATAAGCCAAGAGTCTAAACAAACCAAAACCAAAATAATACACAAGTCATAGATGAATAAAATAATAAATTAAAAAAATTTTTAAGAGGGACAGTCAATTGCTAGGGAGGGAAATTAGTAAATTAGTGCCAACAATACACTGACTTAATTACTATATATGTGGAGGTGGGATGAAATGGGAGGAATGATTAGAATACTTTAATAGATTTAACAATAATTAAAAAAAACAGGTAAACTGAAAATTCAGAAATAAAGTACAAAAAGACAACTCTATGTGTGGATATGTGCATGGATATGATGGATCAACCTCCATCAATTAGGTAATGACAGCTTAGAACCCCCACTGCCATTTATTTACAACTTCAGAGTTTCTTTACCTGTCTTTGTGGAGGATGGGGATAACAGGGGAGTGATGCAAACCAGTTCAATATAGTTTTATATACACTGATACCTGTTATGTTCAAGGAATTAGTCCTAGGCACTGAGAACAATGCAAAGATAAAGAAGGCAGATTTCCTGCCTCAAGCAGTTTATAATCTAGACTAGAGGTTAACATACTCTTGCCAGCTGGTCATATAAGAATAAAGTTAAGAATGTTTTTTGCATTTTTAAATAAAAATTTTACTGTATTTAAAAAATATAAATACCATTCTTCAGTCCAGAGGGCCAGATTTGGCCCACAAGGCCACAACTTGAAGACCCTGATTTAAAAGACTGGAATAAGTTGTGTACACAAATAAATACAATACAAACCAAGAAATACAAAGCTGTTAGGGTGTGTGTGTGTTTGTGTGTGTGTGTGTGTGTGTGTGTGTGTGTGTTTTAGATGAGGGAAAATTATTTGAAAGAGACAGTGTTTGAGCTAGGCCTTGAAAGATTGTTAGGATTTCAGTAAATTTGAAAGAAGCATAAAACTTGTAAAATAAAGCACAGAGAGGCAAGGCTTGAAAGGCAGGCTGAAAGCAAACAAAGGATTTTAGTCAGTACACTGCCAGGAGCTATTAAAGATTAAGCAGGAGGCAAGAAGACCAAAGGATTTAATAATAATGATTACAGCTAACACTGATCTGGTACTTTAAGATCTGCAAAGCACTTTACAAATGTTATTTCATTTGATCTTCACAACAACTCTATAAGGTAGTGCTCTAATCCCCACTTTATAGATGAGGAAGCAATTAAGTGACTTTGCCAAGGTCATGCAGCTAGTAAGTTATCTGAAGCAAGACCCAACCTTAGGTCTTCCTGACCCAAGTACAATATTCTACCAACTATATCTCTTAGTGGTCTTATTACTACAAAGGACCTTTCATCATCTAATTCAATTCCTTCATTTTAAAGATGAGGAAACCAAAGCCTGGAGGGATAGCTTGATCAAGGTCACAAGGGCACAAAGTGACAGCCCCGATTCAATGCCAGGCCTTCTAATTTGAAATGCAGTGTTCACTTCACCATTGCACAGTCCTAGTTGGCCACAGCCCATACAAGATAAACTAAACTGGAACTGTAGCAGTGGAAATAAAGAGAAGAGATAAGAGAGGAAGGAAGGAGCGACTCAAACAACAACTTGTTATATTAGGCCTAGGGGCAAATCACGGAAGAATCAAAGAGGACTAAACGTTTCCAGTGGGGTCACCAGAAGAAAAATGGTGCTGTTGTTAGAAACAGGTATTTAGAAGGAATTCATTTTAGGAGGAAAATGATGCATTCAATTTTAGGCATGCAGAATTTGAGGTACTAAAGTGATAGAGGCTGAAATACCCTACAGGCAATAAGAAACGCAAGCAGGGGACTCAGGGCACAGGGCATGGCTAACAACAGATTTGGGCACCATCCATCTGTGCAGAAGTCAACAGCTCCAGTCATGAGAGCATAACAATGGAACTTGGGAGAATGCTAAATTGAGAGATAGGAAAAGAAAGAACAGAGGCTGACGTTGACAAGGAAACAAGAGACGGACAATTAACCATGCTGAAAAAAAGATTAAATTATACTATTATCTAAAATACATAATCACATTGTCAGGCTCAAATATACAGTCCATCTTCATATATTGATATCCCCAATGAAGTCAGCAAACTAAAACCAATGGCTTAAAAGTATCAACAGAGGTCAAAATTTCCTTATTTTCTCTCTCACACACACACACACACACACACACACACACTCTCTCTCTTCTCTCTTCCATAATCCTCCCCCTGTGCCCTTAAACAATACCAAATAAATTACTATTCAATGAACAAGTAACTTTATGTCCTTTGCTAACTCTGAAGTTACACATCAATTAGTGCCTCGCTATTAAGCTGTAACAAAAAGTACACCCCATAACACATACAGTTAAAATTTTACCCTTTACTGTATTACATGTTCCTTCCAACTTTATTGCATTATTCTCAAACATTTCTGAATAAACACTCAAATTCCATCTATAGCTAAGTTTAATCATACAGCTATAAACTGTAGTCAACGTATTAAAAAACTTCAGCAAAACATATTAAAGTTAGACATCGAAGGTCAAAAAAAAAAAACCAACAAACCACAAAACCCAAGAAAGAATATATCATTTAAAAGATTCACAATAGATAATATCTTGGGTTATTTTAAGCTTGCTATCCCCTTCTGTTCCCCTTCTTAACCGGCTAAATGCATTACCTAATATGACACCATTAATAGCTGACAGAGGAGCTTTTTTTATTATCTTCCTTAAGTCCAGGTGACCTCATTCAATGTTAATGGTTCACACACCAAGTTATGGTCCATGAAAGGAGAAAAAGTTGAAATAAATTTTCACTCCTTTCCTTTGAAGAGTATTTAAAAATTTCAATAATATATGTTTATGGAGTTATCCCTGAGCTGTTAAAGTCTAATTTTACGCTAATGTCACATTATTTTTTACTTTCATTACCAAAATAACCAAACACTTTCATAAGGAGGTAACCTAACAACCCTCCCTCCTAATGACACCCTTGCAGTTCTTGTTAGTTATTCGGCACACACACAGGAAACATTCATTTCTTCTAAATACTAAACTTTAAACACAAATTTTGTAACCTACACCAAAGTGTCTTCTTTGGGCTTAGAAAACAATTATCTCTCATAAGCAGTGTGTCAATACATTTTGAATTCAGGGGCAAGGGGGTCTTGCTTTCATTAGCCTTCTTAGTTTAACACTAATTCATAACATTCCATTTGAAGTTCTGGATATTAACTTAATATACCTTTTGAATTATACTGTCATATAGAATGGAAATGTGCATATTTACAAGTAAAAATTGATATTTATTCCTAGGCAGACATTTTTGGGAAAATATAGTTTGACTATTACAAAAACTGATCTCTACGGAACTGTCCTTACTTTCTATTGTTTTATATAGCATTTCCACTTTTTTAAAAAAGCCAACAACCCTAAACATATGCATACAGTGTTGAACAAAATCAATTCACCATACAGACATTTTAAGCACCCACTGTTGTAAAAGAAAAGTTGGGACAAAATAGCATCCCTGATCTTATACAATCTTGGTCTTCTCATAACTTATCATTTGAAATAATAAAACCCTCGACCCTAGAAAAACAAACAGTAAACTTTTAGCCTGATAGGATCATCAGGGAATGACTTATTCTAGAAAAGGGGTCCATGGATAGATTTAAGACTAGGGGGCAGGGAGGCAGGATCATTTTAAAATTATTTTATTATTATTTTTAACAATAATGATAATGAAAGTAGCAGTGAACATGCACGCACTATATGCCAGGCACTGTGCTAAGCATTTTACACTTAAAAATATTTTGACAACTAAATTTCAACTTGGTTTGCTTTGTAATTCTATTTATTTTATTTTACACATTTAAAACATTATTCTAAGAAGAGGACCATAGGCTTCACCAGATTAACAAGGGGATCCAAGGCGCCAAAAAATGTTCAGAAGCCTTGTTTTCCAAATACCTAAGGGCTTATCCCTTATAGCACCAAAACATCTTTATAATAATTTGTCTATTCTAGCAGGTAATCTTCTTAAGAGATAGTACATACTTCCTGCCTTTAACAAAATCTAACCTTTTCTTGGTTACTCTTAGTGATTTTTATGAAAGTCAATTATTTGCTATGTTGGAAGCTTTATACTGATTAGGAGTGATTTTCCTTCGCATCAACCCCAGACTATGGAGATCTTCACATATTTGTTGCTACTTTTTATAGGTTTCCTCTATTGTCCATCATTTATCAGGTATTTATTTATGTTCTCTCAACCTGAACATAAAGGTACTTCTCCCGCCTTTTCAACTGACTGTTTCCATGATCTAGTGGAAAGAGCTGGAGGGAGTCAGAATACCTGGGTTCTAGCTTTAGCGTAACCTCTATTTGGGCTGTGCAGACATTTTGTTTGCTTAACTCCTTCTTGGCTGGGTTCCAGATAGGAGAGGTTGACTTGAAGTATTCTATATATTTGATTAAAATATCCTAGTATAGGTATATGGTGATTTTAAATTGTATCTTTTGTCTTTAATCTTTACATTTTCACTTTTCTTTAGTTACAATAATTACTAGAGTATTTTAGATAATCAGAGTGTTTCAAGGAAAATCAAAAGAGGAGAGGAAGAAAGTGAAGGGAATAGGCCAAAAAGTAGAGGAAGAAATCTGAGAGAAAGAGAATAGTTACAATTTATGGAGAATTTATTAAGTTGGAAAATAATACCATCATTTCATTTCAGGATATGGCCAAGGGCAACATATGAAAAGAAACCATAGCGTCCTGAGGTTATGAGAAGAGAAAATAATTTAGAGCAAGCTCAAAAATAGTGGCTTCTGAGTACAGTGGGTTTTCTCTATGCATTCCTGAATCACTAATAACTGAGTGGGGAGGAAGTCACATCTTGTGGAGCCAGTAATGACTGGGGGACTTGAGAAGAAAGCAAAAAGTTAAGTAGCTATTTTATGGATTCCCTAATATTAACAGTTCCCAAGAGATCCAATTAAATCTCCATTCAAAAAATATTTATTAAGCGCCTACAATGTCCCAGGCACTCCACTAAGTAGAGAGAGTATAATAATTCAAGCTGGTCAATATTGAGCCAAAGAGAACACCTGAAGGGTGATCTACTTCATTGTCAAATACCGACTTCTAGGGGCAGCTAGGTGGCACAGTGGATAGAGCACCAGCCCTGAAGTCAGGAGGACCTGAGCTCAAGTCCAGACTCAGACCAAACACTTGACACTTACTAGTTGTGTGACCCTGGGCAAGTCACTTGACCCCAATTGCCTAAAAATAAAAAATAAAAAAAATAGGAGGAGGACCTGAGTTCAAATATGGCCTCAGACACATATCACTCACTAGCTGTGTTACTCTGGACAAGTCACTTAATCATAATTGTCTCACAAAAAAAAAATTATCTGACAGAAAGGTTCCTCTCATCAATGAAAATATTTCAACTTATGTATATCAACGAACACAACAGACCTCCTGAGGGAATGAAAACCTTATTGAAAATAACAAATTAAACTTTGACTCGTTACCTTACAGATAAATCCAAACTGCAGTTTAGGCTAATATGAGAAAACTGTAAATAAATGTTCAGCCTGTACCTGAAAAAGTACAAAATCATAAATTTTCAGGATAAAATGGAAATAACAAAGTGCCTATGTTTTGAAAGCTCTAAGCAGTCTGTGGACATGGTGGGCATAAAACAGATAGCTAGAGATACAAAGAGGAGTTCTATTACACAAGAGGTAGTTATTCTAGACAAGGAAGTATGAAAGAATCGATAGTATGGAAACTCTATAATTGGCACCTAATGAAACTATTGGAATAAGAGTTGGACCAAAAACAGCAGGGAAAGAACTATAGATAGAGATTTTTAAAAAAGGATATAGAAATGGAGCAGGTGTATCATGATTTTATTGAAAGCAAAACAGCAGAAGGTTACATAGACAAGATGTTTACAAAACAGAATCGAGAAAAAAAGTCTTGTAGGCTCACTTAATTATGGGATAGACTACTTATAATTAATCTGTTAAAAGTGGTAGAAAAGACAAAAGGACAGAAGCTGAATGTGATAGGAAACAAAAAGAAATCAGTGAAACAAAGATGTGTAGTTATGTCATTTGGCAAAAACAGCTTATTACTAAGAAAAATAGTGATTACTAAAATGAGCAGATATTTTCTGAAAGCTATTACTTTATTCTTTCCCATTTCCTTTATAATCACTTAGCAAAAGGCAAAAATAATCTTCCCCTCTCACACGTTGATCAGAATTATTCAGGGATTTTCCAATGTCATCCACAACTTGAAATTACTCACATTCCATGTGACTGCTCAAGCCTATATCAACTCTTCATTGGACTCTAAAAGACCTGTTTCTTCCTCTACTTCTACATCTCCATCCCTTCTATAACTTTCCATAATCCAGACTGAAAAAAGTTTCTGGCTTTCACTTGAAATTCTCATTTAGTATTTATCACTTGTTCAAAGAATTCTGATCTGATTCAATATTGTGAATATCAACATCATATCAACTTCGATCTACAGACAGCTTTCTCTCCTAATCTCAAAAAAATTAATTAGTTATGTGCTTTGAATGTGCAAAATAAACCATAATATATTATAAATGCACAACAAATATTCATTAATTCAAAAGCAGGAAATTATCAGAGACCAAAAGGTTCCTTTTGGAAACTTATAAAATGTTTGGAAATAGTAAAGTAGATGCTGGAAAAGTTAATAGAGGAAAGGGCAGAACACTATAAAGACAAGTTGTCCTTTGTAATCCCCAAACTCTGTTCCTAACCAGTTGTGTGATCTTAGCAAAGTCCCTTATCCTCCCTCTGTCTCTGAAACTGCACCCCTCAAGTATAAATAACAATATTTGGCCTAACTCCCTTGTGGAGCCACTGTGGGCATTCAAGAAGATGAGGTGTCAAAGTACTTTAAGAACTATGAAGCAGCACAGAAACAGAAACCATTACTGCTGCTGCTAAGATCTCTTAGAGGGAAAGCCAACAAATAAAAATACCAACTCTTTTTCAAAGAAATGAAGTCTTGACAGTCTAGATTTGAGAGGAATCATTAGACTGAATCCTATAAAGATAAAAAGGGTCATGTCTCTCAATGAGATATTGCTGTACACGGCAAATTTACCAGTACAAAGACCAATGCTCACATTGATTTATCTGTAATGAATCTGACATATGTGCCAAAGGAATACTCCACCCTCCACCAAAGAACTCCTTACCACTTGCTGGGTGATGTTGACATTGGACTGTCCAAAAGTTTTGGGCAAGAGCTGCTTCCCAACAGCGCTCACTGTAGAAGGATGAACGGCTACTAATGAAACAACTCCTAGGATACAAACAAACAGACAAAAACAGTCACAAAGCAGCATTTACCTTTGTTTTAAGAACTAAATCTAAAACAAAAACAAAACCTTTTTAGTATCAAGAGATGTGATTATAACATCTTGTTTGCTCTGAGTCTGTTAAACAATGTTCATTTATGTGCATGATACAACTGGGGACTCTTTTTCAAAAGTCATTTTGGAGCTTAGCTTTCAATAAAAACTGAATAAAAGTTTAAATTACAATTTCCAAATGTTAAGTGAAGGAAGTTAGATTAGATCAGGTTGCCCCATCCCTGGACTAGATGGTCTCAGAAGATTCTTCTCACATGAATTTCTATTAAAATGTGGTCTTAATACAATACACAATAAAACAAAATTAAACATTTCAACCCAAGCATTCCTGATTACCTCATTGTAAAAATAGTTCAGAAACATAATGATTTATTTTCCATTAGAAATTTTTGGAAGAAGAAACAATTTTTTCATATGTCATTCAATTCACAAAAGGCTTATTAATATAATTAATATTTTTTAAAAAACCCAAAAAGGGGTTAGTTACACAAGATAAAGAGCAGCATTTTCAGTTTGAAAAAAATACAATACATTGCTGTTGGCACCTGCTGTGACAAACACTACCATATTTTCAATAAAATATTTTGTTGCTGGCTTTTAGACTTAATAGTCTATGTTACCCTTTAGAAACAACTTGAGCATCCTTACCCAAGTACATGTCAATTACAACCAATATACCAGAAAATGTGCCTCAACCTACAGTTGGGGAAAATAAAATCAGGAACTTTTGTACTATTATTCCAACTTTAAAAATACAATTACAGTATTGTCAACTTCTCAGCTTCTTATCTCTTCCACAATTCTAAATTCCTACTCAGTCCATTTAATCAGCTCATCACACTGTTTATAATCTGAAAGCAAAGGTATAAACTTTGATAACTATCCATCATGAAAGCATTTAAAATTAACTCGCTTTGAAACAAGCTCATAAGCAAACCCTACCACCTCCCAAAAGGTACAAAATTAGACAAACTCTTTCATAAATAATAATAGCCGACACTGTACAGTGCTGTGAGGTTTGCAAACTACTGTGCATATATTTTCTCGTATTACATTTTAAATGCCAATGCCACCCTTGATGTTGTCTTTCACTTTATGGGTTCTTTTCCCACTTTCAAGGCTGGCTGTGTCCTATTTCCCTGTTCTCAACGTATATACTTGTGTCTAATCTCTCCTACTATTGCTACTTCTAGGAGCTGGAGAAGGCTACTGTTTCCCCTCTTATTCTCCTCTGCTTTTCTCCTGATGCAATCAGCCAAACGCACTTTTGGAAAGCTCCTGGCATCTAAATGTGCCTTTTTGCAGCTCCACCCATGTTCTGCCCCTTCTAAAGCCTAATAAAACAACTTTCATCTCTTCTTCTAATAAGACTTTCAAATATTTGAAGATACTATGTTCCTCTAAGTCTCCTCTTCTCTTGAAGATGCCATCCTGGTGTGGCATCATTGATGTCTGATTTCACCTCCTAAAATCCAAAAACGAAAACTCCCAGTAATGTCATAGTTAAAATCCAGAGCTTCCAAGTCAAAGAAAAACTGCAGTAAGAAGTCATAAAGAATTCAACTATCAAGGAGCCAGAGTTAGGATCACTTAAAACCTTCTACTATAAAGGAAAGTCTAGAACATGACATTCTAGAACAGGGGTCAGCAAACTATGGTACACAGGCAAAATCTGGCCTATCACTGATTTCTGCATGGCCCATGAGCTTAGAACAGTTATTAAATTTTTAAATACAATTTTTAAAATGTAGTTTGCTGATGCCTATTCTAGACTCCTGTTCTAGAAGACAAAAGATAAAGACAAGAGCTGGAGAAACACTTTGAATTGCAAACACGAATTGAAAAAGATACAAAAAGATAAATGCACAGGAGCCACTTGGAAGGGACCACTTGATGATGCAGGGTTGATAATCTAATATCCAATTTCTAATTTCTGAAGAAACAAGTGTCCCTTCAAAACCCTAATGTCTTCAAGGGTTATGAAGAGAGTCAGGTAAGAAATGGGCTGGATCAATTTTATTACATTTTGATGATTTGAAGAGGAAAAAAGCTAAGGGAAGAGAGAAAAGAAGAGGAGAAAAGGGGTAGAACTTATCATTTCACAAAACAGACAGACAGATACACACACACATACACACAGTTTGGTATAGAAATAAAATAAACAATAGGGAATCAGGTAAAACAAGGCCTGGGGAAAGGGAAAGTAAGAGGAAGGAATTAGTATTAAGCAAAACAAATTCTGTCTTCAGGGGTGGAGCATAAAATGATTAATAAAAGTAAAGGAAAACAAGGTTGAGAACTTGTGATGAACAAAGAGGGAGGGAAGGGAAAAGAAAAAAGCTTATTGGAGCAAAGATGAGGGGAGAGGAGGAAAGAGGGAAGAAAGTATGACATCAAAAATACAGCATTAGTGCTGAACACAATTTTCTCTCAACAGCCCTTTCTTTGTAAAGAGATATGTGGCAAAAGGAAAAATATACAAGAAAATACAGAATTAATAATCAGAAATGTGAACATAAAAAGCATAAAATCACCCACAAAACAAAGAAGAGTAGAATAATGGATTAGAAATGAAAAATTCAACAATATGCTTTTTATAAGAAACACTTAAAAAAGAACTCATACAATGGGCAGCTAGGTGGCACAGTGGATAGAGCACTGGCCCTGGATTCAGGAGGACCTGAGTTCAAATCCGGTCTCAGACACATAACACTTACTAGCTGTGTGACCCTGGGCAAGTCATTTAACCCCACTGCCTAAAAACAAAACAAAACAAACAAAAAAAAGGACTCATACAGTAAAAATAAAGAGTCGAGTAAAATCTATAACACTTCAGTAACTCAAAAGCAGATGATCTCAGACAAGGCAATAATAAAAACATACTTAATTTAAAAAGATGAACAGTGTACTTCTGGGGACAGAGTCAAGATGGATGAATAGAGAAGCACTCAGTCAGGATCTCCCAACACTCCCTTCCGAACAACTTTCAAATAACACCACAATTAGACTTCTGGAGTAAGCAGAGTAAACAAAAAGTCAGAGTGAAAAAACATCCATCTCAGCCCAAGAAAACATAAGAGGTTGGAAAGAGAGATCTGTGACGTGAGGGTAGAGGCTGACCCTGAGCCCACTGCATAAAACCCCAGTGGTGGAACTAGGTGGTGGCAAAAGAAACAGCAGCAGCTTCAGGATCTATCAAGCCAAAGATGGTCAGGGGACATGGCAACTGGGCAGAAAGAGAGATCCTGGGGGACCTCTATGCTAGCATCGACATAGGACCAGGTACTGTTTCCACTGCCAAACTTCTTTAGAAAAAAATTCCATATACCTACTTCTGGGTATAGTTCAAGAGTAGGAAGAAGCACTTTCAAGGGGAAGTGGAAGCCGCGAGGGGCAAATGTGTAGTGACTCTGTCGCCTATGTCTACTTCTGGGTCATGGTTTAAGGCCAGGGAAGAGCACTTTTAGTCAAGAGGGAGTGGAAGGAATACTGCAGGGCAGTACCACTTTTGGTCTCAAGGGATCAGGAGTAGCATCAATTATAATCCTAGGGGATCAGGGATCTTTCTTGGGAAAGGACCAGTGTTCAGACCAGGACAGCAGAGACCACACTTCTCAAATTACACCACCTTGGAAACACAGAAAACCTCCAAAGTCCCAGAATTAGCTTGGAAAACAATGGATAAATAGAACTTTATCATTATCAGGGTAGTTAGATTCTACATAGAAAGAGGGTGCAGGAGTGAGTCGATTATGTTGGAAGGATGAAAAAAAAATGTTAGGTGAGAAAAAGGGATCCCCTAGGAGAAGACAGAAGGGAAAGGAAGAATGGGGGAAATTATTTCACATAAAAGAGGTGCACAGGGAGGAGCTTTTATAATAAAGAGGGAAATGGGGGGAATCAATGCTTGAATCTCACTCATATCTAAACTAGCTCGAAGGAAAATATATACACCTTCTCAATTAGTAATAAACATTTATCTTACTGAGGAAGGAAACAGGAGAAGATGGAGATAAGGGGAGAGAGGAGTGTGATAAAAGGGTGCACCGATAAAAGGCGGCAGTGGACTTTAGAGGAGGGATAGGATAAAAAGAAAGAAAAATAATTAGAAGAAAATAGGATGGAGGGAAAAGCACAGTTAGTAATTATAACTGTGAATGTGAAAGGAATGAACTTGCCCATAAAATGGAAGTGGAAAGCAGAATGGATAAGAAACCAGAATCCAACAATGTGCTGTTTACAAGAAACACACTTGAAACACAAGAGTTAAAATAAGCAGCTGGAGCTGAATGTATTATGCTTCAGCTAAAGTTACAAAGGCACCAGTAGCAATCATCATCTCAGACAAAGGAAAAGCAAAAACAGATTTAGTTAAAAGGGATAAGCAGGGAAACTATCAATAAGACAAGTAAAAAAATTTGAAAGAATAAAAATTGTCAATGAGGAAATAAAACTATCACTCTTTGCAGATGATATGATGGTATACTTAAAAAACTCTAGAAAATCAACTAAAAACCTGGTTGAAATAATTAACAACTTCAGCAAAGTTGTAGGATATAAAATAAAACCACATAAATCATCAGCGTTTCTATATAATACCAACAAAACCCAGCAGGAAGAGATGGAAAGAGAAACTCCATTTAAAATAATTATAGACAATATAAAATATTTAGGAATCTATCTGCCAAGACAAACCCAGGGATCATAAACATAATTACAAAACTCTTTTTACACAAATAAAGACATATCTAAACCAATAGAGAAATATTCGTTGCTTATGGGTAGTCCAGGCCAATACAATAAAAAAATGACAATTCTACCTATTTACTTATTCCATGTTATATAGCAAATAAAACTACCAAACAATTATTTTATAAAGCTAGAAAAGAGAGTAACAAAGTTTATCTGGAAGAACAAAAGGTCAAGAATA